TGTGGCAACATGGAAAGGTCACTTGGTGTCAGGAAGCCCTGGGTTCAAATGTCAGGTCTGCACTTAATTGAGCAAGACGCTTAACCTCGCTAAACCCCAGTTCCCTTGCCTGGTAAATCCCCTTCACCGTGCGCAAGAGGCAAGCACTGGAGGAGCTGGCGTGATGTGCAGTCTCTGTCAGCAAGCTGCCTGTGAGTCAGGGTTTCATGCGTGGCGAAGCAGCTTCCTCGCTGTGAACGGTTGAAAAGGCAGCCCTTGACACAAGCAGCCGCCTCTCACTGACAAAACGGGGCTGATGATGATAATATCTACCTCACAGGGCTGCTGAGAGAAGCACATGCAACTGAGTGTGCAGAAGAGTCTTGGGAACCGCACCGAGCCCGCCCAGCACAGTGGCATTGTCATTCCCAAAACACCACAGTGAGGGGTGCGGGGAGCAGGGCAAACGGAAGCACCGATGTCATCTCTGGGAGTGGTACCGGAGGCCGGCAGCATAGGTGGGCCCAGGACCACAGTGGTCCGTGCAGGCAGGATTGTTCTGAGCCCAGTCCAGTCCTTGGCAAAGCACATAATGGGTCCTCAGGAATCGTGTGTTGGGTGGACAAGTGAATGAGCAGAGGTGGAAATCAGCCCCGTTCTCCACCCCACCTACTCGCAGAACTTTCTGTCACAGACCTTCACCCCCCACCACTGAATTTACGGGTTCTTGACCTGAGGTCCGTGAATTCCCTCCAAAATTGTACGCAGAATATAGTGTGTGTTTGAAAACATTATCTTCCTAAGTAAAGGAGTGTTAAAGTTCTACCCAGAAGAGCTTTTAAATATACCCTGCTCGGCCCTGGCCAGGTAGCTCAGTAGGTTGGAGCATCATCACATGCACCAAAAGGCTGCAGATTTGATCTCTGGTCAGGCCACATACCTAGGTCTCAGGTTCAATCCCTAGTCATGGCATGTCCAGGAGGCAACTGATCACTGTCTCTCTTTCCCTTCCTCTCTCTCTCTAAAAATCAATAAATGTAGCCTCAGGTAAGGAACAAAAAACAACCCTGCTTTGAAAGGTGGGCATCTACCAGGTGCTCAGTGAATACCTGGTTGGATTCATTTGGATCCTAGGACTGCCAGGTACCCTGTGGAGTCAAGGACAACAAACAAACAAAGCAACAGACAGCCCCACCTTTGTCTCTGACGTATGCATACAAGCCCCACCGACCTGCAGTTTTTTTTTTTCCTGCAAGTTAGTTACCTGCCATCTTTCGTATGCAAAATTCATGACCGCACATCCTCAGGGGCCTGTCTTCTGAGTGGCTGCTGTGCAGCAGGGCAGGTCTCAGCCAGCCACATACACTCTGTCTCTCTCGTATGTCCCACCAAGTACGTTTATTCTTTTGAGATTTTTAAAAAATCTAAGTATAGTTGGTATACAATTTTATATTAGTTATATTAGCTTCAGGTATATAATATAGCAATTCAACATTTTTATACCTCACAATGTGATCACTCCACTTACTCTAGGAGTTAACTGTCACGGGGCATACTTATCACAATACTGTTGACTACATTCCCCTTCCCCTTTGCGTCTACCCCCCAGCCCCTCCCTTCTGGTGACTAGCCCCTTAGTTTGTTTCTCTCCACTTAGATGTGGCAGGTGGGGGTCAGGGCCCAGTACCTGGGGTTATTCACTAGGCCTCATGGTATCTGAACTCAGAACGGGGATTTTTTTAATGAAAATATTGTTTCTCACTAAAAACAAATACATGTGTATGAGTATATACATATATACACACATGTATGTGTATATGTACACACGTTGGTTTATTGGAGGAAATCTAGAATGTATAAACAATGAAAAAAGCACCTCTGATTCCACCCTCCTCCAAAGAACTGTTGTTAATGCCTGGCTTCTCCTCTCCCCACTCACCGTGTACGGCATTTGTGGTGCGCACACTGTGTGCAGGGCGCTCACTCTGTGCAGGGCGCTCACTGTGTGCGAGGTGCTCACTGCCTAGTGCTCTGCAAGTACCGTTGCATGTTAATGTCCTGTCTCACTTCGGGTCTATTCCACCTCTTCACATGCACATTTATACTTTCTAAATTTTTGAGGCCGAGGGGATCATACTGTTTTGCAATCTTGTCTTTCTCCATAGCATTGCAGTTTCTTTCCATGTTATTAAATATTCAGCTACAGAGTCATTTGTAACAGCGGCATGATGTTCTATTGCAGGCAGGTTCTGTGCTTCTCAGACTGGGGTGTGTGTACCCCCGAGGGCAAAGCCACAGGATAAATGTAGTATATTCTCCTGAAGCACAAATCTGATTTGAAGCTTTGGGAGGAAAAAAACACATTAGTATGATATCATAACCAGTGCATGTATACCACAGGATAAAACAAAGAGCACCCATGAATTTTAAAACAAAGCATCCAAGTTCGGAATTGTACGAGCTTGTTGTTATTCCCCAAAGAAGCAAGTTCCACCCTTCTAGGATGGCAGGGACATCTGAGAAGCACTGAGTTCTAGTTCAAGACTCATGTTTTACAGATAAGGCACTTGAGACCGAGGGAGATGGGATTGTCCAAGGTCCACAGCGGGTGTGTACCAAAGCCAGCCACTAGACCCCTGGCCCACACCTCTCCCAGCCTTCCATATTTGGCCACATCCCTCCCCTGCTTTTTCAGAGGATGTGGGTAGAGACCTTGCCACCTGAGTAGTTAACCCTCTGCTTATCAGTGGAAACTCTTAGCTTCCTTCGTGATCCATCTTTTAACAGCAGCTTTTTTTTTTCACCTTGCTGGCCAGGATCTGAACTGTGCACACCTGTGGTTAGTAACCATGGCCTTTATGTGCAGCCCCCATACACTCCAGCAGCTCTTAGATGTTGCACCTAATGCTCTGTACTGTGAGCGTGTATCCACTGGTCTGTTTTACCCAGGAGAGTGGGACTCATGTGTCATCATCATTGTAATCTGACCTTTATCAGGCACCCTCTAGATGCCAGATGCCATGCTGGGTGTTTTATCTAGTCTTCATAACAGCTTTCCAAAGTGTGTGTGATAATACCCCAAAATCAGTGAGAAAACTGAGTAAAAGATGATCACTTACCCCTTGTCATTCACTCATTTGATAAGTATTTACTGTAGGCTTGGATGCCAGCACTTGAGTTAGATGCTGTGGACGGTCATGATGAACCAAACTGATACCACTCCTGCCCTTACGGACTTACAGACAAGTGCAGGGGACAATATTCAACCAGTAATTTGACAAACTGTAGTGAGTGTAAGGTAGCCCAGAGCCCATCCAGCTGCCTCCACCTTGGCCATTTCTTAGCTGGCTGACCTTGTGCAAGTCTGTTAACCTCTCTGCACCTCATCTCAGTCTTCTGTAAAAAGAGAATAATCATAGTACTGACTTCACGGGGGTACTCTGAGTGAGTAAATTAGCAAACGTAAAGCAGAGCAGAGCCTTGCACATTCCAGGTGTGTTGCTGCTGGTGGAATGAAGGAGAGGCACGGAGTGCCAGGCACCTGTGATAGGGCAGGACCTACGTCTGGTGACCTCTGGTCGAGTTCTGTAAGGTGAATAGAACGTGTCCAAGTGTGGGGGTGATGGGTGTCCGGGGAGCAGAGTGTTGGAGGGGTGTTCCAGGCAGGGGCAACAGCATGTGCAAAGTAGAGGGTGGGCTCACCTGAGGACATGCATGGCGTGTGGCTGGAGCACAGCAGGCAGGGTGCCACATGGGGTCAGCGTCTGGAGGGGAGGAGCCTGTGATAGAAATGCATCTGTTTCCGGGGCCCTGGGCTCTGCACCACCCTGTGGACCCAGCCCGTGGGAGATGCTTGGTCAGCGTTGCGTGAACAAGCAGGCACGTGGACAAACGATGACATCGGCTTCACGTGGTCTTGGCTGTGGGTCTTCTGTTGTTGCCCAACCAAAAAAGGAGTCCATTGTCCCGTGTACACAGTTATGTGTGGACAGTTCCACCCCCACTGTCAAGCGGTTCACGTCCCTGTTGCTGGCCCCTGTCTTTTTGGCAGCAGACTGAAACGTGCAGGTTTGGGTGGGGGCCTCACCAAGGTGGCAGCTGGTGGGACCCCGGCACCACAGTCAGGGCCTCACGTCTAAGCCAGTGCTGTCCAGACTGTTGGAGGCGTGGGACCCTGTGTCGAAATGATCTTAAAGGAAATCTACTACATGGAACGGGAACAAGCAGAGCTTCCACGGTTTAGCCTCAGACACAGGGATACAGAGCACTTGGTAGTACCTCATGCACCTGAGGAAATACAAGGGCTCCATAAAGCACAGTTAGGAAACCAGGAGGTGAGCCCAGCTCTCATTTTCGAGGTGCGGAAGCTGAGGTCCAGCAAGTAGGTTTCTCTCCCAACATCATACAACCAGGTGCAGACCCAGAGCCGAAATCCAGATATTTGATACCGATTTTACAACGCCCAGATTTTTCTCCACGCCACCCTGACCGCCCCCGGCTCCTCCTCAGTCTGGGGTCTCAAGGTTGGGGAGGGGCTCCTGGCTCTGACCAGGGCACGTGGCCAGCCTCCAGCCTCCAGCCCCAGCCAGGGCCCAGAGCACAAAAGTCGCCAACCGCCCACCCGGAGGGCAGGCGTGGGTGGGAGGTTTGCGTTTGCGACCTGGTTGTGCCGTGCCTTTTCTCTCTCTCCCGTTTAATTGAGTTTGAGGTGGTTGCTTTTTGTTTCCTTAAGAAATGGAAAAGAATGAAGCTGCGTAAACACAGCGATGTTAACTCCCTGAAAAACCTCCTGCCATTTTAACTCTGTTACTGGAGAAATAAAAGAGAAATAATTTGTCCACCCACACTTAGCTGTTTCTGACGAAGGTAGGTGAATATTGCTTTGCTAATCGAGGGTGACTGCTGAAAGTGGAGCCACGCTGGCTGATCCTGGCTTGAGAGGAAGCCCCGGCAGCCCCGGAAGGAGCGGCCCGCCGCGGGTCGCCAGGCCCCGAGTCAGCAGCTGCTGTCTGCCTTCCCAGGTCTCCCCCAGCCGGTAGTGATGGAGGCCCTGGACCAGGCCGAAGGACTCGTGGACTCTCAGAGAAAAATGCCACCACCACCCCCTCCTTCACCGCCCTCAGAGCCAGCTCAGAAGCCGCCACCTCAAGGCAGCGGGAGCCACTCCCTCACGGTCAAGAGCAGCCTGTGCCTGTTAGCTGCCTCCCAGTTCCTGGTAAGGACCTTGCAGGCCTCGCGAGGGCCTAGACAGAGTGCGGGTTGAAGGACAGCCCTCCACGTCCTTCCCAAGCTGGCCACCTGGGGATGCGGAGACATGAGGGGCCCTCATGGTGTCCCTCAGGGACTCCCAGCCCTCAGGCTGGCTTGTGAGGAGAGGGCTGGAGTTCAGAGCTGCAACCTTGATAGCTAAGGCCCTCCCACCCTGTCCTCTGTAACCTCAGAAGCAGGGACACAGCTGCCCCCCACCCCAACCTCTGGCCCTGCAGGGCTCTCTCTGAGGACTTCCTGTCTATGGAGTCTCTGGGAGACGTCCCTTTTTATGTATGTAGCTGGGGGGTCCCTGGGAAGGTCTTTCTCTTGGCTCCCTGTAGTCAGCTTTCCTCCAGACAGAGCCCTCAGGCCTCCCTTGGGCACACAGCACCTGGGCCCTTCCCCCAGCTGTGCAGTCGGGACCTTGGGGCCCAGGTCCAGGTGAGCTCTCTGGGGAGGGAGATAAAGGCAAAGAGCCGGGGCTCCGAACTCAATCCCCTATCGCAGCTTGCATGCGGGATGCTCTGGCTCAGCGGCTATGGCCCTGTCTGGTTGCAGAATGCCACCCTCCTGGAACAGCTGGGACCCGCGGTGAGTAAGCTTGGGACCTCCAGGGAGGGAGGGGACAGCAGGAGGGGGCCTCCCGCCCCACCAGCCCCTGCACGGGCGGGGGTTCTCTGAGTCCCACAGACACCTCCATCCCCTTGAAGTTCTTCTCCCTGCTCCCCACCCTGACTTGTTTATCCATTGTTCCCCAGGCCTGGCTAAGCGTGGGGACCTGGGAGGTCCCCAGTCTGCTGCTGGTCTCCGTGTCCGTGCTCCTTGTTACCACCCTGGTAAGGTGCCTCCTGACCTGACCTCCACACTCCCCTCCTCTGGCCCTGAGGCCGGATCCCCACCAGCTCTCATTAGTCGTTCTGAGCAGGGCCTGGGATGGGGTATGCCCAGCATGGGGTAGGAGCACCTTCAAAAGTGATTACAGCGTTTGAGCAGGGAGAAGGCTGAAGTAGGGATCCTCACACCCCTCCAAGAAGCCCTCCATGCATAAGGAACTAAGGGGTCAGGTGGGGAGGGGTCGGGGAGAACAGGGTGGGGGGTGGAGCCTCCCACCTGTGTGAGGTGCGTGCCATGCAGATAGCTCCCCGGAGAGCAGGACTGCTCTAGACACTGAGGGCCAAGGGGTTCATCCCGTGGGCAGCCCATCAGCGAGGGGCAGCAGCGTTGTCCAGGGTCCTTGATGCCATGTGCCTCCAACTAGGTGTGGCACCTCCTGAGGGCTCCCCCGGAGCCCCCCACCCCGGAGCCCCCTGAGGACAGGCGCCAGTCGGTGAGCCGACAGCCCTCCTTCACCTACTCGGAGTGGATGGAAGAGAAGATGGAGGATGACTTCCTGGACCTGGACCCCGTCCCTGAGACTCCTGTGTTTGACTGCACGATGGACATCAAGCCCGAGGCTGACCCCGCCTCACTGACCGTCAAGTCCGTGGGTCTGCAGGAGAGGTGGGAGGGGTGGAGGAGGGGTGGACTCTGTGGGCCCTGGAGTGCTTAGCCCCCAGGCAGAAGGGCAGGTGCCCGACTCTGACCCTGGTGCTCTGGACCTGGCTGACCTCATAGGGTAGCCAGGACACTCGTGTGCTCTCTAGGTCTGATGCATATAGATCAGAATGCCCCGCAGTGAGTGCTCACAGACACTGTGACTGCTCACCAGTGAACAGGCACATATAAGCGTGTGCGTGAGCACACCCACACGTACACTTCCGTGCTCAAATAAGTCTGGGTGGGTTTCTTTGCTGCAGGACTTGTCAGGGCTTTTAATGTGCTCGTGCTCAGTGTATGTCACAAGGGGGCAGTGCGTGGCATCCCCAAAGCCACTTAACCACATATCACGCTTTGGGAGGTGTCAACACTCTCTTTCAGAGACTAGCTGGGTAAGCCAGGTCACTGCAGCTTGCAGTTCCCCACGCCATGTCACGGGCAGAGCACGGAATGAGGAATCTGTAAACTTAGCTCTCGTTTCAGCTATGCTGTCCCCGCACTGCGCAAGCTCCGGCAATTCTTGTCGCCTCTCTGGGACTCGGTTTCCCTTTCTGTGTGATGAGGGTCCTCCCCGTTCTGGGCCTTTAGACACTGAACACAGTAGAGACTGCCAAACGTAGACACCCTTGCCCCCCTGTGCCCTCCTTGGAACTCCCTCTTTTTCCACCAGCTGAGAGTCCCGGCCTGTCCTGGATGAGATGTCCTTGACTCATTGGCAACCTCATCCCAGACTGCCGGGCCCAGGACCGTGATACAGAGGGCCCAGCCCTGCTTCGCTGATGTAGGCAGGTCCCCTCTCTCTCTGGGAGCTTCCTGGGGGCTGCAGGGCTGGGCCCTGCCTCCGGTAGTGATGGGGAGAGTCCAGGGAAGGGCTGTGTTAAGGTGCCTCAGGTGGAACCTTTGGAACTGGGGCCCAATCCTGCCCCCCACTCAGTCAGCTACTGCACCGCTCCTGGGAAGTCAGGCCTAAGCCCGGGGCTGAGACTTGTGCTCCTTATGTCAGGGGTGCGATCACAGCCCTTCTGCTCCCCTTGAAGCCCACTCTGTACCCGCCCCAGTCTCTTTGTCCCTCATCTTCTCACCCCGAGGCCCCAGCCCATGCCCCGTCCTGCCACTGAGACTTACACCCCTTTCCCCATCCTTCCAGGAGGGGCTCCAATGTCTCCCTGACCCTGGACATGTGCACGCCTGGCTGCAACGAGGAGGGCTTCGGCTACCTGATGTCCCCCCGAGAAGAGTCAGCCCGGGAGTACCTGCTCAGTGCCTCCCGAGTCCTTCAGGCCGAGGAGCTCCATGAAAAGGCCTTGGACCCCTTCCTGCTACAGGCAGAATTCTTTGTGAGTCCCCTGAGCCGGCCGCCCCACCGTGGGAAGGCGTCTCTGCTCACCTCACCCACCTCGCAAGGCTGTGGAGTCAGGTGCCCCGATTTCAGCCTCTGATAGATGAATGTCGTTTCTTTATCACCTTTCCTGCTGCCTTGGGCGAGCTGCTTCCCCTCTGGGGCTCAGCGTCCTCATCTGGAAAAGGGGGGTAAAAATGATGGGGATGTTGCAAGGATTAAGGAGAACACAGGTGTGCAGAGCGCCCCTGCTGGTGGTTGCTGTCCAGTGGCTTTCCCAGTTCTTCAGTGCTCAGTCCTGTGCTCTGAAAGCCATAGAAAGCCTTCTCTTCTAGCGGCTGCTTCCTCGCCCTCCTGCCCAACATCACCAAGCGTGGTTCAAGCCCCTTCGAAATCCCACCCCTGCAGCTATAGCTTCAGTGGGTCCTAGATAGCTCCTCTCTAGACTTCTGTGACAGCCCCCTGCTGCTGTTGGACTTCGTGGGACCCAGTGAATGACATCCCTCTTTTACCTGCCTGCTTGCCCAGCCAGTTAAAAGCTAAGACCTAGGAGATCACAATATCGCCTTTGTTTTGTTGATAAGGACCAAGTTTAAAGTGAGGCTTAGGTATGTAGCAACAGTGAGCTTCCGAATACCGACTCCCAGAATTAAATTTGCTACCCACCCCAGGAGGTGATGGCATATTCTGGGCCCCATGAGGTGCCCCTGTAATTCTTGACAGGAGGGCCCATCAGGTTACCCACCTCTGTGGACAGGGTAGGAGTGGGGCCAGGAGCATTTGAGAAGAGTCCCTTCTGGGAGGAGCAAGAGGGATGGGAACCCAGGTGCCTCCCTCACAACCCCCATCGCCCCAGGCTGCCCTGCTCCCTGTCTGGACCCGATGGCTCTCTGAGAAGGCCTCCATCACCCTGTGACCCATGGCTCCCCATTCTACAGAACTAAGCATGGCCTGCATTCCCCGAGCTGGGCCGGCCCCAGCCCCCTTTTCTAGCCTTAGGCCCCCTCAGCCCCTGTAGGGACTTGCCACTTCTAACTAGGCCAGCTCCCCCTGCCCCATCTTCCTCCTCCCATTTTTTTGCACAACATCCCTCACCCTCGATGCTCTGAAAGCCTTCCTGGACCACCCCAGCCCTGCTGAGGCTCCGAGTTCCCACCCCCATCCCTTGAAGGAAGGACTTGCACCCTCTGTCACTGTGGATTTTGCCTAGAGAGCGAGGAACACAGCCTGCACAGCCACTCCACAGGCGCTTTTACGTTTTTACTGTTTTCAATCTCACAACAGTCCTAAAACTTCAGTGCTATGATCCAAATTTTACAGCGCACATACTCAGGGTCCAAACAGTGGGTCCACCAAGCGTGAACGCTGTGGACTCTACGTGGTCAGATGCTAAACTGTGTGGACAGCGAAAAAGGGAGTGAAGAGGCGCAAGGCACCAGGGTGTCATTCCAAAGGCTAGGGGTATCCTAATGGGTGAAAATGATGTGGAGAATTGAAGAGGGGTGCTCCCTGCAAGTGGAATGCCACGAGCTCAGACCTGGAGGCCAGATGGAGAAGAGCCTGTTAGCAACAGGAAGAGGTGGGCATAACTGGAGGGCAGGTCTCTTGAGAGGCACTTGGTGGTAAAGAAAGACCCCAGAAGGCTTCACATGCCAGGCAGAGAAGTCCAGACTTGGAGCTCTTGACACAGAGAGTGGGAAGTACAAAGACAGCCTTGGGAGCTCAGGAGGTGCCTTTCCTGCAAGAGAATCAGGGAAGGCTCCTTGGAGGAGGTGGCATATAAGATGGACAGGACACAAGAAGAGGATGGGGTGCAGCATAGAGCGAGCAGTACAACCCAGGATTCTGACGTGGGGATGTCCAGGGTAGGAATACAGACCAAGAAAGACACTCAACTGGGCTGTAGTACAGGGAGTGTGGAAGATGGTGATGATTGATCAGGTCGATTTTCAAACTCTGCTTCTTCTTCATCAGCCATTTCTTGAGCGGCTGCTGTGGCCAGACTGACCCTCAACAGACCGTAGTGGTAATAACATTTGTTATGCCCTTGACATGTGCTGCCAGACCCTGTTCTAAATGCTGTTCGTGTGTGCATCAACTCATTTAATAGTAAATGGTGAATGAACACACACACTCCTGCCAGCCCCTGGACAGGAAGTTGAGAATCCAGCAGCCCCCACATTCAAATGTCTGTGAGGGTCAGCCCCCAGCCACTCACACCACCATGTCCTCCTGCAGGAGATCCCCATGAACTTCGTGGATCCGAAAGAGTATGACATCCCTGGGCTGGTTCGGAAAAACCGGTACAAAACCATCCTTCCCAGTAAGTACTCACTGCGCCCGGGGCGGGGTGGGGGGTTGGGACAGGCTCCCCTCCCTGGGGGTGCCCTCCCCCTGAGGAAGACCTTAACGCAACAGCTGGGCCTCCAAGGTCGTGAGAAAGGATGAAGGGTGGCGATGCCCAGTGAAGGGAACACCCCGCCTTTGAGGGCAGCGGTTAGTTCATCCCTTCACACAGCACTCTCGGACCCTCGCCCTGGCCACGTGTTGTGCTGGGCCCTGTGGGAACCCAGAGAGAAAGGGTGCTGATGGCAGCAGCTCCTGCACAGTGCATAGTGATGACGAGTGCTTTTGCGTCCTGTGCCTCTTCAGAGTGGGCAGACTTTAAGGAGACGCGAATAAGGCTCAGAGAGGTCATTGGCTCATCCATACTCACACAGCTGGGAAGCACAGTACTGAGTTTCAGACCAGGCCTCTGTGACCCCTGAATTGGGCCCTGTGTCTGCCTGGAGCTCAGTCTGTCCAGACTGTGCATCCATCCTCACAGGCAGAGGGGCCCCACGAGGGGAAGAGCCGCCTGGAGGGTGCGTAGGGATTATTGCCACGAAGGAATTTCCCCTCTTTGGGGGCGGTTGGACCAGGTGACCTGATGTTTCTCTTTCAGCCCTGGGGTATCATTTTCAAGTATTGTGATAACTTTGATCAAACCCCTGTCTCTCTGTCACCCTGCAGAGTTCTGGCCCTAGGCCCCCAGGGCTAGCTTGAGGGGGGGTGATTTGTTGAAAGTGAATCCCCACGAACCTACTCTACTCAGTTTATGGAGTGACAAGGCTTTAAAAAGCAGTTTTGCCATCAGCATCTTCAATAATATGTAAGATGTCATGACTTATTTTTAACTTTTAAAATAGCAACTTGTGGTTGCTATGGTTACACAGTCTCTAGGTAGTTCCAGTTCAACAAAGCACCATGTAAGGCCGGGATACACTGTTCTGGCTGCTCACCTCTTCCCTGTCTTGCTCCCCCACACCCTTGTACCCCACCTGTGGGAGGGGCTCAGGGACCTCAGAACCCAGGCCTCTGCTGGCTTCTCAGCACGGCCGCTGAGGGAGGACCGGCATCAGGCCATCCCGCCTCCTGGTCCTGGATTGCTGAGAGGCCTTGAGCCACCCCAAGCCCCCAGGCCTCAGAGCCCAACAGCAGAAGTTCTCTGTGACCACAAGAATGGACCCTGTGCCCTCAGAGACTGGGACAGGGAGCAATGGCAGAAGGCAGGCCAGGTTTGGCAGAGGCCCCCTCTCAGCCCATGGACACCCTGAGGGTTGTTCCTGCATTCATTCCACTCCCGTTTCCTGAGCCCCTGCCCCTGGGGCTGAGAATTCAGACAGGAGTGAGGCCCAGACTGTGCATAGGGAGCTCACAGGCCGGTGGGAGAGATGGCCCCGTGGACAGGTGCAGGGTGACCGGGAGCCCAGCAGTCAGCACTGAGAACGAGATGCGGGAGGGTGGTTTCTGCCCATCTCACCCCGGGTCCCGAACTCCAGGCGTGCTGGGAATGTCACGGACACACCCCATCTGCAGGAACGTATGTCTCTCAGATCTGGCTCTCCTCCTCCGTCCTGTCAGTGGCTTTTTAGGGGCAAGGAGTAGTTGCCCAGTTTCGGGGGTGCCATTTACATGGGCTGCATGGACGACTGGTTGATGCCCCCAGGAGCCAGGTGGGGCAGAGCAGCCCACCGAGCCTGACACTTCTCACTGGGATCACCACAGCCATCTACCAGCCTGACTCCGGTAGCCCTGCCCCCGCCCCATCCACCCTCCACCCGGTCACCCAGGGGATGCAAAGCCGAAATCTAATCGTGCCTTTCTCTTGTCACCCTAGAATCCTTGAGTTCAGATGCAGCCTGGTGAGCACAGCCCTTTGTCAGCAGGTTCCTCCCCAGTTCATCCCTCACCCTGCCCAATGCACCCTCAAACCTGGCCCAGGTGCCACCTCTTCTGGAAGCTAGGATTACACCCTAGTCCCCCAAATCCGAGGCCCCCTCTGCGTCCCCCGGCCCAGCGCTCACAGGCCACACACTGCCCTCACCCTGCCCAGCGCTCAGAGGCAGGGCCGACGTCTTGTTTATACAAGGTTATGAAGGAGTTTCCGCTCTCAAGCGCAGTGCCAGGCACAGAAGCAGCGTGGTCAGAGGGCCCACAGGACCAGTCCCGTCCCCACTGTGGTGCTTGAGTACTCTGGCCAGTACCCACTTCCGGCACCTAATCTGGGCCGGCGCCAACAAGGAGAAGGCAGATGGCCCAGGTGGAAAGCCCTGCCGCTCTCTGCTGCTGGTCCCCGAGCGCCCCTCTGCTTACCCCCTACTCCACTTCCCACACCCTGCCACACTCCTGTCTGCAGAGCTGCCCCTGCCCCACCTGCTCCCATCCCCAAACCAACCCGCCAAAACCTCGGGCCCTGGGGCGGGGCACACTAGGGCCAGAGAACGGAGGCTCGTGCCTTTTCTCCTGCTGGGTTTGGCATCCTTCTTTTTATCATTAACTCATGGTAACCCTTGTCACAATGGCAGTAACAGCAGCAGCAGCTTTCTGTACAGTGTTTTTCATATGCTGGGCCAAATTACCAGTCTGAGGACTCGCTACCATTCATCCTTTGACCTTTACAAGATTAGTCAGGTGATGGTGAAAGGGATGTCCCCAGGCTACAGAGAAGGCACCAGGGAGATTAAGTAAGCAGCCATGTGGACACAGCAAGTACCTCAGAGCCAGGACATGAGCCCAGGCTGTCTGTCTTGGTGGTGTAGGCACTTAATCCCTCCCCTGTGCTTTGAGAGCGGTGCTGTGCACACAGTCCTCCCTGTACGGGAGAAAACAGAGGCCCAGAGAAGGAGTGAGACAGTGGGCTGGTGACAGAGCCGACCACAGCCAGGAGCCCGGGCCCCGGCCAGCTTCCCGGGCCCGGGTCCCAGCCTCCGCAGGCTGACGGGGCAGTCAGTACAGGGAGGCCAGAGCTGGGACAAAACAGATTCCATTCGGGAAGAAAAGCAGGACTTCATGAGAATGGATTACTATGGGATTTGACGTGTGAATGGAGAACAGCGGGAGGAGGAGGGGCCTCTGTGTGCACTGGTGTCTGCTGCTGAAACCCAAGTCTCATCTCAGGCGAGGCGGGCTTTACTGCTCTTATCCCAGTGTTCTTCCTTGGCCTCCGTCCCCCAAATATTACAGCCCATTCTAGTTGGAAACTGAACGGGCTTTGCGGTGTACATGGCACTTTCACAGCTGTTTTCTCAGTTATCTTCCCAGCAATCCTAGGAAGCAGGCATCTTTATCCCATATTACAGACAGGGAAACTGAGGTTTACAAAGGCCATGTGCTTTACAAACATGCACAGCATGCTGGCGAGAGCGCCTGCTCAGACTCCAGCTGCCCCTGCTGTCCGGGACATGTGCCCCAAGCCTTCTTCTCCAGAATGTGAGGCACAGCGAGGGCCGTTTGAGAGCCACGGGCAAGGGGTTGGCATTGAGGCTGCAGGGGCAGAGTCCGAGGGCCTGGCCCCCACCCTCCTCTTCAGCCTGGGCCCTCACCTCCTTAGTGGGCCATGGGGACGGTCAGCGTTTTGGTACCGAGCTGGAGAAGGAGGAACTTTGAGTCCCAGAAGAAATGGGGGTGCCCTAAATGAGCCAGACAAGGTGGGCGCTGCCCCAGGGGGATTGCACCTGTCAGACCCCAGCCCCACCTGTCTCCCCCACCCCAGACCCTCACAGCAGAGTGTGTCTGACCTCACCAGACCCTGATGACCCTCTGAGTTCCTACATCAACGCCAACTACATCCGGGTACGTAACCCCATCCCGCCAGCCTCTCCCTGAAAAGGACATCCATGCTGGTGGGCTCCATCCTCTGGGCTTGTTTCTAAGCCAGTGCACCTGCCACCAGCCCCCCGGGGATAGCCTGAGGGTGGGGACCGGGCCCCGGGAACACTACATCTGACCTTGACAGCCCGGACGTGGTTGGCCGCAGGGCTACGGCGGGGAGGAGAAGGTGTACATCGCCACGCAGGGCCCCATCGTCAGCACGGTCAGCGACTTCTGGCGCATGGTGTGGCAGGAGCACACGCCCATCATCGTCATGATCACCAACATCGAGGAGATGAACGAGGTGGGCACCCCGTGTGGCTTCCAGGTGTCGCTGCTTTGAGCCCTTGCCACGGCCCTTGCTCCATGTTCTCACAACAACCTGGTGAGTCAGTAGCGTTCACTCCGCTGTCGAGGTGAGGGAGCAGGAGGCTCAGCCAGGTGGAGTCATTCGCTCAGGGCCACACCGATGGTCCGAGGCGGAGCCTGGAGCTGGCCTCTCCACCTCTGGTGCCTGTCACCTCCACCAGGATGCCCTGCGGCCTCCTAGGCTGCCAGGGCTGACGCTGGCTACTTCCTTACCCGTAACAACCCAGTTAACTGAACCCCTAGGAAAGTCCTTCAAAATGGGTGTTACCAAATTGGGACCACTGTAATAGCATAATCAATAAAATATAATTTTTTTAAATGGGCATTACTATCACTGCACAGATGGGGAAACTGAGGCTCAGGAAAGGGAAGTAACTTGAGGGTTAGGAAGCTGAGATATGAACCTGGTACTCTAACTGCAAACCTGTTGCCGTCATTCGTCCCTCCCTGCTGGCCCTGGAGGGGCACTGGGGAGAGTGTGGCTGGGGGATGGGGGTGCACCACAGCCTGATCTTGGCCCCCTGCAGAAGTGCACCGAGTATTGGCCAGAGGAGCAGGTGGTACATGACGGTGTCGAGATCACCGTGCGGAAAGTCATTCACACTGAGGATTACCGGCTCCGGCTCATCTCCCTCAGGGTGAGGCCTGGGGCTGGGCTGGGCTGGGCTGGGAGGATGCAGGCAAGGGCACTGCTGAGGACATCACAGAGAACAGTGTTCTAGAGTCCACTCTAGCAGAAGTCAAGTCCTGTGTCTTCCAGGATTTACTGATGAGCAGGGATGAGGGAGGGGTGAATGGACTTGGGCACAGAAGCAGGACCAAACCTCAGTTGTGTTTCATGCTGTTGGTTCTCTGTGTGTCTGCACTGTCATTCATGATGCCTTCCAGCACCCAAATCCAGGACTGTCTGGATAAGGGGTCTCCAGCTGCCTGCAGTACTGTCCTTATAAGAGCATGGTGACTTTGAGATCTTGGCTAGAAGCATCCCTTTCACCTGGGCTACTGGCCCTCTGGCTCGTAGAGCCCAATCTGTCCACCAGAGGGCAGGCACACTTTGCATTGGGGTTGCACAAGGAAGTTGTGACCACAAAAAAAGGGGGAAAAAAAGATACAAAATATGAGCAATACAAAACGGCCCAGAAGAGTGGGGGAAGGCATCCTCCCACCCTGAAGTTGTGCTTCTTCCAAGAGCAGCAGAACAGAGGAGACTGTTCCTTTGGAATCAGGAGGATCAGTGTGTTATCTTTTTGAGAAATGATAAGAGCCAAGTTTGAGAAAGGCAGAGCCACTCCAATAGCCCCAAAGGCTGGGAGAGGTGAGCTGGGCACCGGATAAACGACCCCCTACCCAGAAACAGCTTGGGAAGTCCAGTGGTGCTGGTGACCACACGGCCCAGCTCAAGGCCTGAGCCCTGTCCCTCCCAGCTGCCCCCTCTCCCACCGGAGAGGATGCTAGGTGGGGTGTCACAGAGCACTCAGCCCCCAGAAGGTAGTGGCCATCTGAACAGCTCTGAGATACAGGCCTGGTGGGGGCAGAGGCTGTGGTAGCTGTCACAGCCGGGTAATGGGGGACCAAGGAAGCAGCTTCCTATTTCTCCAGGAAGAGATGTTGGGAGGAGGTGGGGCTGCCTCATCTTCTCGGTGCCACAGGACTGGTTAGGGAAGAACCGGGGCAGCTTGGGGTTCGGAGGCATTTACTGAGGTCCATAAACGGGTATGTGCACCTGCACAGCCTGGTTCTGGGTGGACACCAGGGACAGAGCTGACTAAAGCCTGTACTCTCCTCAAGGAGCACCCATAAAATGGCAAGCATTGAGCTAGAGATAGGTAAGGACACAGAAGGACTCTCTGCCAGCTGGGGTGCTCCCTGTGTCCTCAGCCCATTCTTCCTGAGGGCTTCCTGGAAGTGGTGACATTGGAAGTGGACGAGTAAGAGTTGGCAAAGGGGCAGACAAATGGTGTTTTTTTCTCTGCATTCCAGGCAGAGAAGAAAGTAAGGGCATGAAAGTTAGAACATCTCAGTGTGTGTGTGTAGGAGGGGGCTTAGCTGCACACCATTTGGAATGCGGGAGCGTTGAGGACCATCCCGGGGGGGGGGGGGCACGAGGAACGGGCCTGGAAGGGCCAACCCTGTACTGCGTGTCCTGTTTGCCGGGCTGAAGGCAGAGGGGACCGGGTTTGTTCAGGGAGCAGGGAGACCCACAAAGGGCTCTGAGCAGTGGGTCCAGATCTGCACTGCAGACAGACCTTTTTGACTGCTGAGGAGATGGGATAGTCATGCTGGGGAGAGAGGCCGCCCAGGGGAGAGATGACAAAAGCCAAAGCAGAAAAAGGTGGGGCGGATTGGGGCAGGGAGAGGAGGGAAACACTCGCTGGGGGTCGGGGTCGGGTGGGCAGGCCAAGCTGCGAGGTGAGAGGAAGGAGCTCTGGTTGTGTGACTGAGGGGCGACTAGGCCATCTGTTCAGATGAGGAGCAGGGGACACGCCTCTCTTGGATAATGCCTGAGTAGCTGGGGCGGAACTGAGGTGAAGACCAATGCTGACCCCGCTGACCAGCCACCACTAGCAGACTGGCTTTGGGTCTCTGTATGATGCCACTGCAGTGCCGCGTAGATGGCAGAGGCCAGAGGCCCCACTCCCTGTGTCCTCCCTCCTGTGTTCTTCCTCCCATCCCCTCCCCATCTCTGGGCTGCTCAGTGGGCTCCGAGAGCTCACGAGTCTCTGGGGCGGGCCTCTGTCTCCTGGACAGAGCGGGACGGAAGAGCGAGGCCTGAAGCATTACTGGTTTACGTCCTGGCCCGACCAGAAGACCCCAGACCGGGCCCCCCCACTCCTGCATCTGGTGCAGGAAGTGGAGGAGGCTGCCCAGCAGGAGGGGCCCCACTGCGCCCCCATCATCGTCCACTGCAGGTGGGTCCTCCCAGCCACCCGCCAGGGCCGGGCAGCCCCACCCCTGCTGCCCCGTCCCCTCACCCCACCCATCCCCTCGGCCCTCAGTGCAGGGATTGGGAGGACTGGCTGCTTCATTGCCACCAGCATCTGCTGCCAGCAGCTGCGGCAGGAGGGCATGGTGGACATCCTGAAGACCACGTGCCAGCTCCGTCAGGACAGGTCAGCCCGCGGGCAGGGCAGGGGCACGTGGAGAGCTTGAGGCCTAGGGGTCGAAGGGAGAGACTGACACATGCTTGGGGCGAGGGGCAGGAGCACCCTGGGTACGCACCTGGCTGACGGGGTAGGGAAGACAGGTAGGTGAAGGGTGTGGATCTGCACGGCCGGTGGCTGGACGGAGAGGAAAGAAAAACAGCTGCTGACCCGAAGGGCAGGGGCTGTGGGGTGAGACACACCATCTTTGTGCCTGCCGTCCGTGCCCGGGCTGGAAGGGACAAGGAGGGGCAGAGGGAGTGGCTGGCCAGGGGCGGCCTCTCCGGGCTGCACAAAGGCAAGGCCCTCACAAGTGCTTGGTACTCCGTGGGTTTGGGGGCACCGTCCCACAGCCCACCCCTCAACAACCCACCCCCGCTGTGCATCTCTGCTGGGCAGGGGCGGCATGATCCAGACCTGCGAGCAGTACCAGTTTGTGCACCATGTCATGAGCCTCTATGAGAAGCAGCTGTCCCGCCAGTCCCCGGAGTGACCTCCCTGCCCCCACCCGAGGTCCTCTGGGCCCTCACCCTGGCCGCACCCCAGGGCCCTGCCTTGGGGCCTGGCCTGCTCCCTGCCCCCTCCCCTGCTTCCTTCTCTCCAGCCTGGCCCCTGCCCCCACACACACATAGCTCTTCCTACTGTATATACTGGGGGTGGGGCAGGGTGGGGGAGGGATGTGCCAGGCCAGGCCTGGGGCCCCAGGGCCTGACCCACACCATGCAGACCTGGGGCCTCAGTTTTTAACGACGGTTCCGTTGCTACTTGATTCAAAATGTTTCTGTGCCGCACTCCAAGTGTCCCGCCACAGCGTGTTCTGTCTGTCCATCCATCTCTGCTGTCTGTACCGGACACTGTGCCTCCTCAGGCTGGGAAAGGGGTAACATGCTCCAGCCCCTGAGCGGCTCAGCCAGAGGTGCCTGGCACGGCCCCCACCCCACTCCTTCCAACAGACAGATGGCATTTTGCCCCCAATTATTGGGACAGGGTGGGTAGAAGGGCCTGAGGACCTGGAAGTCAGGCATGGGGAGAAAGATCTCAGCCAGGAGCAAGGTCTCTGTGTTGGGGCCGGGGGGGGGGGCGCGGTGTCACAGCCCAGGTAGCTTCTAGGTGTCAGGTGCCCTCAGGAGGCAGTGACCAGCCAGGGAGGCATGGGGAGGAAGGGGGCAGATGGGGGGCTGTGAACCCGGAAGACCTGGGCCCTGGTAGGAGTGGGAGGGCAAGGGGGAGCTCCAGGGTGGGGTGGGGGCTCAGCCCCAGCTCTGAGTGGAACGTTTCTCTGTCACTGTGGGAAGCCTTCCCCAGAAGTCTTGCTGCGTATAGCTCTGTGTGAGTTTCTGTGTCCACGTGTGTGTTGAGAGCCCATCAGCAGGGCATGCATGACTCTTTGGCAACATGTGTTATCTTGGAGCCACATGTTTTTATTGCTGACTTTAAATATTTATTCCACGACAGACAGAGACATTTGGTGTCTTTTTATAATTTGCTCGTGGTCATTGAATAGAGCAATAAACAGCATTTTGAGCAAAACTAGCCTCCTGGGTCTGTGTGATCACCTCTTCCCGCCATTCTCTGCCTCCCCGTACTGTGTTCTCCTCCTCCAAGTGTGCACACATGCACACCTGAGGGCACACACACCACACAGCCTGGCCCTCGATCTCCCTGACACCCCCTTGTGGAGACTGGGAGTATGAAGTGAACCCACGTCTGCAAAGCCAAAGACATCGTTAGGTAGGAATCTCACCCAACCCAACCAGAGCCCTGGGACGTGGGGAGCCTCGAGAACAGGTGTGGGAGGCTTCTACAGGAGGCAGAGTGGCTGGCAGGGCACCAGTTCTGACAGATGGGCCAGAGACGCCAAGGCTGGGGCAGGAGGGAGTTTGGAAACATTCAGGTCGCCCTGCCAGGCCCCTCCCTGTTGGCCAGCACACTTACCCGTGTTAGCCCTACAGCTCCCAACGGCAGCTGCAACCTACTAATTTACCTTTTAAGGTCTGGGCTGAGAGTAGCCCCTCCTAAGGGGCCTGGAGAATCTGCCCATGGGCTCAGATGCTGGACACTCCTGCTCTATTCTTGCCCCTGCCCCCAGGGATGCAGCAGAAGTAACTGATGCCAAGGCTGGCAGACAGAGGTCATTTGGGGGCAGGAGGGGGCCCAGGGCAGGGCTGCGGATCAGCCAGCAGGTCCTTGAACCCTGTCTGGGCTGGTTGAGGGTCTAGCCACTCAGGTACGCCACACGCAGGGAATGACAGGGAGCGGCTTGTACGGCCAGCATGGAAGTCGGGAGTAGACACGATGCTGTCCAGCCACACTCCAGCAGCAGGCCGGGCCTCCTGTCCGTCCCCCCACAACTGGGGGATTAGGCTGTAGGAGTGGGCAGGGCAAGGAGGGCTAGCATTTCCCTCTCCTCCCCCAGGGCGGCCCTGTGCTGCTCCCCTGGATTTGGGCAACATGGTGGAGCCCCTGGACCTCCCCGGTGGGCTGTGCATGTGCTCACACACTCACACACACGCTGCCCTGAGCCCTTCAGCTCAGGTGCTTCCCACCCAGCAGCAGTGGGAACGAAACCCCTGCCACAGGGGGACGGTAACGCGCGCCTGGCAGCTCCCCTCTCCACCAGCACTTCCTCCACCCTTAGCTCCAGCCTCGTCCCCTTGCCCCAGCCCCCACCCCTACCCCAAAGCAGTGTGTCATCTAGCTGGGGCAGCTGCAGGACGGGATTAGGGAACTGCCCCCAGGGGCCAGACATTTAAGGAACCGGCCGCCTCACCATTAAGGCAAAGGAAGAAGACCGGACAGTCTACAGCCTCGGCAATAGCTCCCCCTCCAAAGCTGCGGACACAGCGTTTGAGTGTTAGGAGAGACTGGTCACACGAAGGTAAGAAGACTTCCCTTGTTCCTCAAGAAGGGGCAAAGCTTCTACCTTCTGAGCCCAGAGAGGGACAGCAGGAGCTGGGACAGAGGTGGTGTCAGAACCCAGGGGGAGAAACAGGACGGGCGGAGCTACATCAAGGTGGAGCAGGGGATAGAGTTTAGCTTCAAACTGCCTAGTTCAAGACAGGGATTTCAGGGTCCCTAGAAGGGCGCTGGACCCCTGGAAGGGTGCCGGCTGGGGCATCAGGAGGCCAGGACTCTAGTCGGAGCGACCTTGGGCAGGTTCTGCCTCTGGGACATCGGTTCCTCCCGAGCAAAGCAGAGGTTGAAGAGCTGCCAAGCTGGTCAGGTGGAAGATGGCAGGTGCCCGAGTCCACGGAGATGCTGTGTAGCTGTTAACAAGATCGGAGAGACTTTATGAACCGGTGTGGAGAGAACGCCAAGACGTACGCAGTGAAACGGGGGCTGGGTAGTGTAGATATTAAGCCGCCTTTACATGTAGAAAAGGGGGACAAGGACAAAACCGTTCTCATTTTCATGAACAAGCCTGGAGACCGCCGCCGGTGCTCACCTGCTGGGGAGGGTTGGGAGGTGGGGGCTCGAGAGTGGACAGGAGCCTCTGCATAAAGATGTTTATACTGTGTTACCGTTTAACAATGTGACTGAATTGCCAATCCAAAAAAACAGTGTAAGAAATAAAAACTCAACCTGTCTTTACTTTGTCACAAATGGAAGAGCTGTAGAAGTAAGTGAGCTGTCATCTGTCTCAGCATCCCACCCATGCCAGGGGCCAGGGCCCAGGAGGAAGCTGCACAGCGCCCTCACAAGGCCTGCTGCGGTATGGCTTAGTCAGGACGCTCCTTCTTAGGTCTGACTTCATTTCCTTCTGATGAAACCACCAGCACTGCCTCCCTAGTTCCACGTAGCTGTCAACAGCTATCCTCAGCCCACTCGGTTCACCAGATAAACCTAGGCCCTGCATCCTCTCTCCCAGAGTTCAGAATGGTTAGTGAGAGACGAGCCCATTGGTCCTTGTAACCAGGCTGGGAAGGTGGGATATAAAGGGATGAGAAGGGCCAGGGAGAAGAGGCTTGCTGTCCAACTTCTCGCCCTCCCCGGTGCACTGTCATCGTCCCTTATGTCCACCTGCCCTGTCCCCTACACGTGCATGCATGCACGTGAACATCTCTGAATCTCCCTCCTACTCCCTCGTTCTTCCTGTCCTCATCCTCTTCCTGTCCTCCCAGGTGAGGGCCCACGTCTGCTGTCACCATGACAACCATTCACCACAAGCAGATGCTGCAGGAGCATGTGTCCATGGAGTTCTCCAGCTCCACCACCCACGTGCAGACCTTCTCGCAGACCACCAAGATCACGGGAGGCAAGTGGAATGGGGAGGAGGGGGTCAGCAGGGGGCAGTCTGCCTTCCTCCACATCCACCCCACGGGTGGCCTCAGTCTTTGTGGCTGCTGGGCCCCTCGAGAGCACAAGACGCTGAGAGCCACTCTCTCTCATCCTGTGCTTCTAGTCTGTGCTTTGATAGAGCTTCAGCCGCTGTATGTTCACCCATAGATCAGCCCTCCAGGAAAACAGCTTAGGAAAAACGCATCACCTGGCTATGTGTGTGTGACCAATGAGCTCTTAAATGCCTGAGGAACTCAGAGCTGGAGGTAAACTCGTGTATCTCCAGTGGGAGGATTTCAGCACCGAGGAAGTTAGGTTGCTACCTTGCCTACATGGGAGTAACTCTGACCCTGCTCCACTTAAGGGTTAGAAGACTTCGAGCTGCCAGTGAAGAGAGAATGAACAGATAAACAAGTGACCTAAGCTTCCAGGCTCTTAGCCCTTGGGGACCAGACCTGGGAGAGAGAAAGCTGAGAAATGGTCTCCGAGCAGAACAGACTGTTTTAGTCATGTCTCTAGAGAAAAGTGATTAAAAGATGGCCAAGGGCCAGGATATTGAATATCCGTCCTCCCAGTCATTGCTCCTCCCTCAAAGTCCTGGAGAGACTGTCCTTCAAAGTCCTCTGTGCACAGAGGTCAAAGCCAGATAAACACACGATATACCAACCCCTCCTGGGCAGAGAGTCAGAGCAAAGAGACCGCGGGAACTTGAGACCAGAAGTTGCAGATTCAAGTGATTATGGAGTAATTCTTAGCACTGGCTGCAGGTTACAGCCATCTTAGTACAGCGGTAAGGGGAAAAGGAATGAAAAAAATAGCAATACCTGAGTCTCACCCAAGTGTTAAACCAGGTGTGTATGTTTTTTCAACTCTCCAGCGGTTCTAATATGCAGCCAGAATTTAAAGCCACTGACCAAGAGGGTCCAGGCAGGGAACACAAAGGCGTGAAAAAGACTGAGGTGAATCAGAGAGGACACACCCATCTAAAGGGCGGCCACATTCACCTCCCACTGGTTGTTACCATGTGGAAATGTGAGAATCCAGAAATCTGAATTTTTTTCCGAAATCCCACAATTTTTAGCTATAGGGCCACTTTTTGTTTAAACATTGCAAGGTCAAACGAAACCCAGGCGCAGGCCTGGTGCAGCCTGCCGGCTGCTTGTTTGAGACCCCCGATCCCTATTTGACATCAGGCCACAGGACTTCGCAACACATGTTTCTGTTCTCAGTCGTTCAGATTGGTGGGATAATGAAGGCACCTCCTTCACTGGGTCCTTGTGAGGATTAAATAAAATAATCTCTGAAATGTACTTAGCACAGTTTCCAGACATAAGGAAAGGACTCAAGAGCAATTGTTATTAACTCTCCAGCCAACAAGATTTTGTGTAGTGTAGTTTATATTGAACAAACAACTTTTTGTTTCCCGAATATAAAATTATATTACTGCATTGAATATGTTCTTTCAATGATGAGATTCTGAGATAGAGAATCCCACTGGACTGGGATTGCTTCCTGTGCCTCACTCAGGCGCCACTTCTCCATGGCACTGAATGCTGAGCCCACAGCAGGGCAGGGAAACGGCCCACGACAGAGCTCAGCTAGCTACCAGGCCTTGCAAGTAGGAGCAGGCCAGCCCCTCCTGATGCTACTGGGGGACTTCCAGGAGAGAAGGAAAAAAAATCAGGAAACTCCCAAAGAGACCTGACTGGTGTGGCCCAGTGGGTTGGGCGTCTGCCCACAAACTTCCAGGTCATCGGTTCGATTCCCAGTCTGGGCACACACCTGGGTTGCAGGCCAGATCCGTGGTTGAGGGCGTGTGAGAGGCAACCAGTCGATGTTTCTCTCGCACATCAATGGTTCTCTTCCTCTCTTTCTCCCTACCTTCCTTCCCCTTTCTCTAAAAGTAAGTAAAATTCCCCAAAGAGAAGTCTGCTAAAATATATATATATAGGAATCAGGTCTTTGGCTCAAAATGGTGCTGGATTATTGAGGGGTGAAAGAGACGTTGTCCCCCCCTGGTAGTTGAAGGTTGCCATACTAGAATACAATGACCCTCGGACTCCAAGGGCCTCCTTACGTGCCCGAAGCCAGTCCTGCCCACGCTGGCCTAAAGTAGCCCCCAACATCCCCTCAAGAAAAGGCCAGCCTTCTAGTCCCAGCCTGAGCTCCACCCGGAACTCATTCTGACCTCTCACCAGCTGCTGCAGAGGAAGTCGTGACGAGGAAGTCATCGAGCACTGTAGAGTTCTTCAGTTTGGTGACTCGGAGTTCCAACATCCCTGAAGGCGAGAGCGTCCCAGAGTTCGTGGAGAAGCCTCATCCAGTCACCGCGCCTGAGGGTGCGTCGTCCCTACCTTCTCTCCCCAGGTCCCCGGTGCTTCCCCGTTTTCCCCAGTGCCCCAGCCACCCCACTGCCATCTCCACCGTCCCTTAATACACAAACACAGGCAGAGCCAGGCCTGGGGTCCCGCTTCTGCCTGGGCCGGGTGACATCCCTGGAAGGAGGTAGAGAGCAGCCAGAAGGTGCAACCTGGAGACTAAGGTGTGAACCTCCGTCCCGTGCCCACTGCAGGGGATAAAGCTGTGTTCCGAGCCCAGGTGAAGGGAAACCCCAAACCCAACATTTCCTGGAAGAGGGAAAGCGGCATCCCCATCAAGGAGTCCGCCAAGATATTCTACGACAGCATTAACAAGGAGCACGTGCTGAAGGTTCGGGGCCTGAGCCTGCAATCCAGTTACCCACCAGGTCCCTCTCTCCTCTGGGCAAGCCACGAGTCTTCTCACCCATGGGAGTCACAGCGAGTCCCCAGACTGGGATATGGGAAAAGAGGCCATCACCGTCCTAGAGGTGGGGCAGGATAAGAGAGTCCATTCAGGAGCTGGGTCTTTCCCAGAATGATCAGGGGGCCAAAATTCGGGGCTGTTAAATCCTCCACATGTGCACCCATCACTCAGCTCCTCCCTCATCTCCCCAGATAGGCCCTCCTTTCCCACAGAAAGTCTCCCTATGGTCCCCTCTCCTGTCCTTACTAATGGCCTGACTCTGATCCAGCTGGAGCCACTGACCACAGATGACTCTGACAACTACAAGTGCATTGCAAGCAATGAGCATGCAGATGCCATCTACACCGTGTCCTTGCTGGTGACAGAGGGTAGGCCAGCTCCCTCCTCCTGGCCCTTCTTCTTTAAGGTCCAAACACCCCTTCTCTGACCCTGCTCCTCTCTCTGTCCTTAGGTCAAGATAAAATGGATTTCAAAAAGATGTTGAAGAAGAGGTGAGGCTGGAAGGAGGCTCCTCTGCCCAGAAGCTGTCCCCCCACCCTCCAGGCTAGAGCATCCTGAAGGCCTCTCAACAGGGCTCTGATTTAATGGTCCAGGCTCCAAGAAACATGGGAGCGGGGTGGGGGTATCTGAAGGTTAGGAGAGGCTTCCTCTGTCTTCAGAGGGAGTTGCTGAGTCCAAGCTTGGCGCCCACCTCCTCCCAGGGCTCCCCCTGCTCCCAAGAAAAAGCAGAAGGTGACAGATGAGAAGGAGATGCTGGAGATTTTGTCCAAGGTGCCCAAGAAGGACTTCGAGAAGGTCTGCATGGAGTACGGGTTCACTGACTTCCGGGGGCTGCTCAAGAAGCTCAAAGGGATGAAAAAAGTAGAGGTGGAGGTCAGTACCCATCGGGGGCAGGGGTCTGCAGGATGGGTCTGGGTGTCACCCAAAGTGCTAGGGCCCGTGTGTCTCCCAGCCTGCACGCACAAACCCAACGGCATACACGGTCTACAGCAAAAGCAGGAAAGGAACTCAATTTACCTTTTACCTCTCCTCTCTGCACCACTCCCTAATATACGTGCATGGACCTGGAGTCGGACAGGTTCAAATCCCAGTTCTACTGCCTTATTAACTGTGTGAATTTGGGCATCTCCTGAACCTCAGTTTCCTCATCTGCCAAATGAAAATGATACTTTCCTCTTTCATTGGTTTTTCTGTTGGTATTGTCATTCATTTACTCAACCAGCTTGTCATTATTAAGCATCCACACTGGCATTAAAAAATCTGTGCAATGGGCCCAGGTGCACAGTGACTGTCCTGTGAATGATGGTGCTTTCCTCACCCCGCCTCCCACATCTGTCTCCCCCTAAATCTTCCAGCTGATCAGTGGCAGGAGGTAGGGGAGGCACAGCTGTCTAATCAGTCCAGTCGTTTCTCCCCAGCCCCTTGGGGTGCTCCTCCAGCATTGGGGACACAGACCGGGCAGGCTTCAGGTGCCCCTGACACTGCCATTTTATTACCCCAATCTCTCAGGCCGTCCGGATTCTGAAGCCGCTGGAAGACATAGAGACCAAGATTGACACCACAGTGACCTTTGACTGCATCATGGAGCTGAAGGATCCCAATACCAAGATGACTTGGGTCAAGGTTGGGGAGTACCTCGTCAGGGCCCACCCCAGCGATGCCATTTCCTCTCTGCACCCCTCCCTTTGCAGATCCTCTCATGACTTATCCTGTGTCCTCTTCTACATCCCATTGAGGGGGTGCCTGCTGGTGTGGTTTAATCTGCCTAGAAGCTGGGCTCTATTCTTAGCTTTTCTACCACTTTGCTGTTTAATTTGAGGCATTACTTTCCTCATTCTATGCCTCAGTCTACCCATCCGAAAAGGCTGGATTAGATGGTCCTCGTGGTCCCTGAAGATCTGTGCCCCTAAGAGAAAGCATCTAATGACCTCATGCATATTAAGAGTTCAGGCCTTAGGGAAAGCAGGGACCCTGGATCCCACTGAGCCAGATGATGAGGCCAGAGAGATCTTAAGGGCCTCCAGGTGCATTTTAGGACCTCAGAGAGGTAGGCATGGCACCTTCCAGCTCAGACTAGTCTTGGGGACTTATCTGAAAGTCTCCTAAACCACTTCAATCAACTTTTCTATCTGTTGCATGAGACAGGATACTGAACCATTGAGGATCCAGTACTCCCTGGGCAAGTATGATGTGAAGCAGGTGGGCACCAAGTACATGCTGGTTATTACCAATGTGAACATGAACGATGCAGGCATCTACACGCTGAACGTGGGCGACAAGCGGATGACTGCACAGCTCAAAGTGTTGGGTATGAATGTGGGCATCAGAGGGCCCCAGGAGGACAAGGTCAGGGTCAAGGGGGGGAATAGCCAAGGATGGGGTCCATGGGGAAATGAAAGAGAGGACTGTGGGGCTCTGCAGGAAAGGCCTGTGTGGGGATGGGAGTTCACAGAGCAGAAAGACAAGCCCCACGGGCCGGTGCAGTAGAGTGGTGAAGGGCACCGTCTCTGGAATGAAACCACTGGGACTCAGATCTCAGCTTCTGTCACTTATGAACAGTGTGATTTGGGGGAAGTTGTTTAACTTTTCTTTGCCTCAGTTTCCTCAATTGTAAAATGGGGAATAATCTATCTATGTGGGAATTAGATGCCTTCATAGGTGCACATTGGCTAAAAGAGTGCCTGGCACATATCCAAAATGACACAAATGCTTTTTAAAATTGCTGTTGAAATCAATAGGGAGGAGATCATAGAAACACCATGATGGTGGGACTCCAGGATCCACAAGCAGGATGGAAGGAAGGCTACTTTCCCCAACTGTGGGCTGGCTATAGGAGGCCGATGACACCTGGCTGTCTGTGTCCCCTTCTCCATCCCAGTCCTCAGGAGAGACAGGGCTGCAGTCCAGTGACCGCCCCTCCTCCTTTTTGCTACAGATGAGCCACTGAAGTTCTTGGGAGAGATGAAGCCGGTGACGGTGACAGAGCGCCAGACCGCAGTATTTGAGATCCGCCTCTCCAAGAAAGTACCTAATTTTGTGTGGAAGTTCAATGGGAAGGAGCTGAAGAGGGATGAGAAGTATGAAATCACAGTGTCCGAGGATGGTCTGACCCACACACTTAAGGTTAAGGATGCCAGACTCAGTGACAGCGGCGAATTCTCTGTGGAGGCGGGGGACCTGGTACAGAAGGCCCAGCTCACTATTGACCGTGAGTGGTTGAGCCAGTTCTGGAGTGGGTGGGCTTTATACCATAGTAACCTCCGTATGGGCAGTCATCCATCCACCCACCCATCCATCTCCTCTTTGCAAAGCCCTGTGATGGGTACTAGAAAGACAAAGGGTTCGCTTTTCCACTGACTCCCAGTCTGGTTGGAAAGGCACATGTGGAAATGGAATTTGAACAGAAGTTCTTAAGCAAGAAGTCAAGATACCTGGGGGTCTTACTGTCAGCTGGGAAATCATGAGTTGAGAAGTTACTAGCTTTTATGGCACTAATATCATATGTTACAACACATGACTCTTGACTACTCATTCTTATAATCCATCTGGGGAATCGCACATGATGGTGGGTACACCAAGAAGCATGTCTCACATGTGAACCACACTTGACACATGTGACATGGAGCTATCATTACTGTGATGGAGGGGGACACAAGTTGTAGGAACCTAAGGAAGAGGCACCACCTGGCAACATCAGGAAAAATATGATGAGGTGGTGGTCAAGCTTTACCAAGAACAAAAAGTAGTTCAGCCTTCAGAGAAGCAGGGAAAAGAGAGGACATTCTCCACAGGGGGAATGGTGTGTGTAGACTCGGACACCAGAAAAACAATGCAATTATGGCTGGAGTTACAAGGGGGCATTTATCCCACTTTACCAAAGAGGGAAGTGAGACTCCAGAGAATGAATGCATTGCACACAGTCCACCGGAAGTAAGGGGCGGAGGTGGGGCCCTCCCTGCCGTCTGCAGGGAGCACATGTTGCACGCAAACACACTCCACGTCACCAGTCCCTGCGTTTTCTAGGGCCAATAAGAGAAGCAGAGCAGCGTGTAGCTGCAGAAAAGGATGTAGAAGGTTGGGGGCAGGCCCGGTGTTTCTCTGTCTACAGGCATCCCCATCAAGTTTGTGAGCACCCTCAAGAATGTGCGTGTGAAAGAGAGGAGCCGGGCCTGCCTTGAGTGTGAGCTGACATCCAAGGATGTGACCCTGCGCTGGAAGAAGGATGGGCAGCTGCTGTCGCGTGGCACCAAGTACAGCATGAACCACGAGGGCAAGCGGGCAGAGCTGATCATTGAGGACGCACAGCTCAGCGACGGTGGCGAGTACACTGTGGTGGCCATGCAGGATGGGGACCCCACTGAGTACTACAGTACTGCCGTGGTCACCGTGGAGGGTACACACCCACTCTGTCAGTCCCCACTGACCAACCCCCCCCACCGGACCCAAACAGTTCCCTGTTCTGCACCCCAACTCACTCCAGCCCTCCCCCAGACCATGATCAATTTCTGCCCCCCCACTCTGACCGCCCCAGTCTCCCAAATTCTGACCACCTCTGACCTCTCAGGCCTTGAATATTTCTACCTCCTAGACTAGCAATTTTCAACCAGTGTGCCACAAGAATTTTTAAAACATGTACTACCTGACTAGCCAGGGGCACTGAGACTGTCAAATAAGAAAATGACAACAGCCAGCACAACAGTAGCCACCTGGTGTGAATCAAATTACACCTATTTTCTTTTGTCAGATCATCAAAAAATAGGCTTTTGTGTGCTGCTGAATTTTGGTAATTAGTTTGTATATTCCATGAGATGAAAAAGGTTGAAAATTGCTGCCTCCCCATATCTCAAACTCTGTCCAAAATCCCTTGACTTCTTTCATCCTTGACCTCCAGCCTCTGGCTGTCCCCCGCAACGGTGATCATCCCTCACCCCTTACCCCAAGCAGCCCCTACTCGCCAGCCCTGACCATTCACTGCTGACCCTTACCACCTGCGATTCCCAATAGCCCTGGGCATCCCACAGACCAGTAAAACCAGAGTTCAACATCCCAACTCCACTAACCACCTGTATCCCCACCATCTGGTCCCCTTCTTTGACTGAGCACCCTAAGTGCCCGCTGACCATTCTGTGATAATCAGCTACCCACCCACCTCCAGTTAGTCATCTCCCAGTCTTCCGGGCACCAATTCTGAATGCCACAGCCTTTCCCTGAATCCTTCACCTACTTGCTTCCATCCCCACACTGACCATTCCCCAGTCGCCCCTTGACCATGTCCAAACCTTCTGCTCATCATAACTGACTTTGACAGACGCAGCACACAGGCCCCTTCCCAAAGCTCTTGCCCCCTTTCTCCTCAGAGCGTCTGGCCACAGTGAAGAGCGGGTTGTCCGACGTGCACGCGGCCACCGGCAGCCCGGCTGAGCTGTGCGTAGTACTGAACGACGAGAAGGTGGAGGGTGTGTGGCTGAAGGATGGCAAGGAGGTTGGAGCAAGGGCTAGGGAAGGGGACTAAGGAGGGAGGGGTTCAGCAGGCATGCACACACTCATGCCCACACCCCGCCCCCCAGATCACAGACTTGCCAGGCGTGCAGATCGTGAAGCAGGGTGCGGTGCATAAGCTCATCTTCCCCAGTATGGGCCCCGAGCACGAGGGCAAGTACACATTCCGGGCCAAGGGGGCAGAGAGCGAAGCCTCGGTATTCATTGCAGGTAAAGTTGCCATCCACTGCAGATGAGCTCCAACCACACCTGCCCCGCCCACATGCTCCTAGCTCCTCCTCCACCCCTCCATGCCTCCCCTATTCCTACTGGGCCAGCCTTCCCTTACCCCCCCCCTCCCTGCAGACCCTCCTACCATTGACCCCTCGGTACTGGAGGCCCTGGCTGCACATCCCGTGACTGTGAAGGTGGGTCACACTGCACACATCAAGGTGCCCTTCCGGGCAAAGCCACTCCCCAAAGTGACTTGGTACAAGGATGGTATGGAGGTGACAGAGGAGGAACGTGTGTCCATGGAGCGCAAGGACGACCAGGCGATGCTCACCATTTCCAACTGCGTGCGGGAGGACAGCGGCCTTATCCTGCTCAAGCTCAAGAATGACCACGGCTCAGTCACAGCCACCGTGCACCTCAATGTGCTGGGTGAGGGCAGGGTGCTGGCTGGGCTGGGCTGGGCTGGGGGCATCCGTTGCCCAGTCCCAGGGTAGGGGACAGACTGGAGACACAGTTGGAATTCGGGTTGAAAAAGGGATTAGAGTGCTAGCTTTGTGGCCTGGAGCCCCACTTCCTAACAGGGTAGCCTTGGGCAAATCAATTAACCTTCCTAAGCTTCAGTTTCTCTTGTGGAAGAGGGTGATTTTTTTTTTTTAGTATCTATTGCAAGTGAATAAAGCACATAGGAAAGTGCATAGCACATTATAGGCCTTCAGATGTTACTTAAGTACTGTTACTGACTTGGAGAGGAGGAGAGGTTGGATGTATGGTGGAAATGAGGTAAAAGAGAAGTGAGATTTTAGGGACAGAAGTGAGGTTGGTTGGGAAGAGCAATGGGGTTGGGGGTGAAACAGAGTGAGGCGAAGGGACACAGGGTTGAGGATAAAACGAGGCTAGAGGAGAAAAAGGTGGAAGAAGGGTGGGAATGGGATTCGAGATGGGCCTGAGCATGAGGTTAAGGAAAGAGGCAGGAAGCTGGCCTCGGAGAACTCACATTCCACGTGCAGAACACACACACCGTCACCACCTCCCCCGCCTGCATCTCCACCCAGCTGTGGCAGGTTTGGATTTCGGTTCAATTTAACAGCAATATTTAGCACCTCCTCTGTGTGAGGACACAGAGGTGAAGTGTCCCCAGCAGTCCCTCAGCCCCAAAGGAACAGAAGCTGGTAGATGGATAATTATAAAAGAAGGCAGACTGTAATTCCAGAGAATACTGGTGTTCTGGAAACTCGGAAGAGGGGGAGATCTTGTCTGGAAGGAGATGAAGGGGGAGATCTGCCAAGGCCCCTTAGGTCTTTAGTCCCCCCACTCCTAGGCAGGCAGGAGTCTCGGGAAACAAGGATCAAACTCTGGATACGTCCTAGAAGGAGAGGCAGTGGACACAGGGAAGGGTGAGGGATACTGAAAGCGCAGCATCTAGCTGCGTTCCAGTCTGGCTGGACCTCTGACCCTTGACTCCGAAGCCCCATCCTGATTCCGTCCTCCGTCCTCTGTCCTCAGACCGCCCCAAGCCTCCCCAGGGCCGAGTGGAGTTCCTGGAGCTGTCCAGTGACTGCGTGCACTTGAAGTGGAAGGCGCCAAAGGACAATGGTGGGCGGCCGGTGACACAGTTCATCGTGGAGCGGAGAGCGGTCGGCAAGAAGTCCTGGATCAAAGTGGGCGAAGTGGACAGCAAAGTCACCAATTTCTCCACCAACAAAGTGGAAGAGGGAAAAGCCTACCAGTTTCGTATCCTAGCCGTCAATTCGGAAGGAGTGAGCGACCCCCTGGAGACAGATGAAGTGTTTGCAGGAAATCCCATCGGTCAGTGAAGTGGCCCCCCGCTCAGTGGGGAGCTCAGGGGTCAGGATGGGGCCCTTTAGCCAGACAGGAATGCTGGTCTGTGGGGAATTCCACAGGTTAATTTCTCAAGCCGCCCCATGAGACAGATGGGTTCCGGAGTAAGAGCCAAACATCGCTGAGGGGTGGGAATTCTCAGCTTTTTCCCGTCAGAGCACAGGCACGGCATACTTCTGTGCGTATGTCCAAAACTGCACCCAGTTACCAGTACCCGACTCCGCGTGTTTCTCATTCCAGAAATCACCCCGATGCTGAGTGAGAGGGATGTTACTTTAGAGATAACCTCGCATGCTAGAGAACACCTTATCCATGCTAAGTTTTTCCAAAGAGAATCCTTGACAGCATCAACATCTCAGTTCTGATTAGTAATCAATTACTCACTACGCTTTCCCCAGCTGATCTCCATGTCCCAACGTATCAAGACAATACCTGAAGAACTGGGACATTGGGGGTGACGCAGGTTGGGAAGTTTCAGTCGGTGATGCTCAATCTTGGCTACACATTAGAATCACCTGAAGTCTTTTTTAAAATGCTGGTGCCTGGCCTCCACCCCAGGCCAATTAAATTAAAATATCTGGAGGTAGGACTTCGATGCTAGTTATTGATGGTAGTTTGTTCCTTTTTTTCTTCCCACTTCATATTAATGTGCAGACAGAGCTAAGAATCATGTGTTTTTAAAAATATGTGTTTTATTTTCAGTTACATTTGACATACATCATTATATTAGTTTCGAGCGTACATCCCAGTGACTAGACATTACCCAACTTAGTAAGTGATCGTCCTGATAAATCTCCACCCATCTGACACCATTCACAGCCTTTAGACTGTTATTGGCTATATTCCCTCTGCTGTCCTTTACATCCCCATGACTATTCTGTAACAACCAATTTGTGCTTCTTAATCCCTTCACCTTTTTCACCCACCCCCTGTTCTGCTTCCCATCTGGTAACCATCAAAATGTTCTCTGTATCTATGAGTCGGTTTCTGTCCTGCTTGGTTTTTTTTTTAATTTCGTTTTTTAGATTCAATTGTTGACAGATAAGTATTTATTGCCATTTTATTGTTCATTTTTTTATATTCTTTTTTTTTAACTTCCCATTTCCTATTAGTGTGCAGCCAGTGTTAAGAATCATGGGTTCAAGGTTTTGTTTTGTTTTTCAAGGAGGGGGCCAGAGGTCAGCAGGGGGGTGGGCAATAGTTCATATGCCTCCCCCCTAACCTCTGCCTTCTTTCCATCCCCAAAAGAGCCCCCTGGCCTTGCCTCCCAGCCTCAAGTGACTGATGTGACCAAGGAGGCCGTGACCATCACCTGGAATGCCCCCACCCAGGACGGGGGAGCCCCAGTGCTGGGCTACATTGTGGAACGGAGGAAGAAAGGCAGCAACCTGTGGGTGCCATTCAACAAGGACCCCATCCAGGGTGAGCTCCTCGGGACAGGGGCCCAGGAGGTACTAAGGGATGTTTTGCTGGATGGACCTGGTACCCTTGCTGCCCTGAGTTTACTGCCCTCCCCAGCCCATTTGGGAATTTTAACAGGGTCCCATGACCCCCTTTTTCATGCCCTCTTACCCTGTGGACCTCCTGGCCTCGTGACCCCTCAAATTCCCATTTCAGGCACCAAGTGCACAGTGGATGACCTCCTGGAGGATACGGAATATGAATTCCGAGTTATAGCTGTGAACAAGGCAGGCCCCGGACATCCCAGCATGCCGTCCAACTCAGTGGTGGCCAAAGACCCTGTCAGTGAGTGTGGGGTTGCCAGGCCACTACACTTCGTGGAGTTAGCCCACTCACGGTGGAGAGACAGGATTTCTTCTCTGGGAAAGTCTAATGAGGGGTGGGGGATATCAAAAAGGCTTCACTTTCTGGAAGCTGCCAGCCTACTGGAGGAATAGAATTCAGACACATAAGAAAGCCAGCAAATAAAGATTGAGAACCAGGGTAAGAGGCAGGTTGGGGAAAAAGTTTTTTTTATTAAACTCTGAGTATTTCTGGTATCAGGTAAGGGAGTAGAAGTGTAGTGAGAAAGAAGTAGGGGTGCTTGGTGGACGGTTGGGAGGGTGCTGGGTTTAGGGGGGATGGCGCACTGCCGGTGAACGGATGTGGTGGAGATGGATGGGTTAAAGTTGGGGTTTGAATATGGGGGCGGATGTGTAGATATGTTGCATTTTGAGGATACTGACTTCAAGGGTGAAAGTGTTAAGTCAGAGAATCGTATTTGGAGGCTGTTGAGTGTGCAAGGCCAGGTATTGAGGGGAGGGTGTGAACTGGGGGAGTTAGTTGGCAGTCGAAGCTGTGAAGTTAGGTTTCAGGGCTGTTGGTGTGGGCACTGGCATAGGGTTGAGTGGGGAAGTTTGGGGGCTGACCGGATGTGTCTTTCTCCCCAGAACCCCCAGGCCTGGTGCAGGGCCTGTGTGTGTCGGACTCCTCCAACTCCAGCATCTCCCTGGCCTGGCGGGAGCCTGCAGAGGGCGACCCTCCCTCCGGCTACATCCTGGAGATGCGGGCTGAAGACACCAAGGAGTGGTCCAAGTGCACAAAGATCCCCATCTCAGGCACCTGCTACACGGTGGGAGGCCTCACCGAGAGGCAGAAATACTTCTTCCGCATCCGGGCTGTGAATGAGGCTGGGGTTGGGGAGCCCGTGGAGCTGGACGAGGGGGTCCGAGCCATGCCACCACCAGGTGAGGACGCAGAGGGCTGGGGCCGCAGGCCCCCGTATCCTGGCTTGCAAATCTTCCTCTCTGGAACCGCATTCCACAGGGGAAAACTGGTCCATGCATGGATCAAGAAAGAGTCATCCACACTTACTGTGCCTGGAGAGAGCTGGGGTGACCTTAGGGGCTTCCCTCCCTGCCCCGCAAAGTCATTATGCGGGGCAGGGGCCCCTGTAGTATCCGCATGTACCAAAGGAGGTGTGAGGGATACAGAAACAAGGAAGACACTGGAGCTGCCCTCAAGGGTCTTACATATTAACAGAGGGAGACGGATGAGGAAAAAAGTGTGTCATGGTGATGCAGGGCTGTTAGATGTCTGTATGGCCTATAACAGGGCCTTGAAGGAGGAGGGGCTGGGAAAGGCTTTGGAGGGGAGGCTTAAAACTGGGTTTTCTGGAAAGAGAGGTCCATGCCCCAGCCTCTCTCTCCTCCATCTCAGCTGTGCCCAAGTTTGACCTCAGTGCCCGGCTGAAGAGTCACATGGTGGTTCGCGCGGGGACAGCTCTCTGCATCCATGCTGCCTTCTCTGTGAGTCATTCCTGCCCCTGGCCCCGAGTGTCCACCTTTTAACCAAGATGGCAACTGTAGCTCTCACAGCCTCTGCCCCTGCCCCTTGCCAGACGCCTGACACTAGAGCCTGGCAGGAGACTCCTCAACACTGGGGAAGAGCCTGTCCCCGAATACCACCTGCATGACCCCTGAAGCCATTTCCTGTCGCTACCAGGGCTCACCACCCCCCAACGTGATCTGGCAGAAAGATGGCGTCCCCACCAAGGGCAGGGAAACCATCACCAAGGGCAAAAACCACTCGCAGTTCCTCATCAACAGCACCAAGCGCTCCGACTCGGGGGTGTACCGCATCTTGCTCCAGAATGAGTTCGGAGAGGCACACTATGACATCCATGTACGAGTGGCAGGTATGACAGTGGGCAGAGGCCTCAGGGAGCATCACTGCACACTCCCCAAAACATAGGTCCCACTGCTGCTTGAGTTCTACCACTAGAAAGTCACACCTCACGGTAGTGAAGGCTTCTCTGGCGCCTCATAGTAAGACTCCATCAGTCTTTGCCTTAACAGGGAGGGTAGTTTCAGCTTTTTCTCACTGTCCTGAAGCCCCAGGGGCATTGAACTTGGACCAAGCCCTCATTTCAGTTCCTGCAGTCTTATCTAGTGAGCTCCAGGACGTGTTCAGAGTAGAGAATGAGTGACAGGAAGGAGGGACAGAGGAAGATAAAAATTGGGGCAACCTCTTACAGAGGGCTGGAAGCTTTCAATAAAGCCCTCAACCCCCAGGTGGTGAAGGGATGAACTTCTCCTGAACAGTTACTGTGTGCCAGGTGCTCTACAACTCTCCGATAGTCATTGTTAGCCTTACTTTGCAAATGAGGGATTAAGTCTTAGAAAAATAAGTAATTTGCCAAGTTCACGGGGTTAGTAAATGGCATAGCTACACTTCAGAAACAAATCTTTCTGACTCCAAGCCACGAGCTACAGACTCAAAGGCCTTCGCAGGTGGCAGGGGTGAGGGCACAGTCCTGAAGGCTCCCCCGGGTGGCCAAGGGACCCTCCGACTGTTTCAGATTTTCCACGGCCTCCCACAAACCTGAAGCTGTTTGAGGAGGTCCCCAACACGGTGACTCTGACCTGGAACCACAGTCCCGACGTGCAGGAGGACGGGGAGGCCCACTACGTCATCCTGAAGCGGGACGCCAGCACTGCCACCTGGTTCACCGCGGCAGAGCGCGTCTTCAGCAACAAGTACACGGTGACCGGGCTGCTTCCTGGCAGGAAGTACTACTTCCGAGTGTTGGCCCGGAACGAAATCGGTGACAGCGACCCGCTGGACTCCAAGGATACTTGGCATGTCAACAAGGACAAGAGTGAGTCAGGGTACTTGGGGGTTCAGGTTACATCTAAGATCTCTGATGCTGGAGATGCCAGAGGGGTCGAAAGGGGTACCCAGGATTTGAGGTAAAATCAGAGAACTGTTGAGGTAGGAGGTGAATGTTGGGAAGATGAGCAGAGAAGTCAAGGTCAGGAAGCCTAGAGGAGAAGACACCTCCGAGGTGTACTGAGGGTTGGGACTAAGGTGGAGGTGGGGAGGTGTCCTTGGGGACTGGGTGGCGCGGTGTTGGGCCAGAGGGAGGGGTGGGGGTGTAATGCTGAGAGCGGTCCTCTCTGAGCCCAGGGGCTAAAGGGGGTGAGGACAGGAAGGGTCTCCAAAGAGCAGGGAGCGGGCATGAAGTTCAGCAACAGAGGAGAGGAGGGTTTAAGGGTAGGGATAATGTCAGGAAATGTGAAATTCAGGGCTAAATGGGAGAGCACTGACCCCCATGGGGGCTGGATTGACATTGAGGAAAGCTAGGAAGGGTATTAAAAGCAAGATAACAGCTCCACTCTGGGAAAGAAGTCTAGGACTCCAAGGCCTGGAAAAGCAGAAAACCCTGCAGACCAGGTTGTGTAACCCTGAAGTGGCAAGGTGGTTGGAGGGTGGTGGAAGGGGAACTTTAGGAAGGGGTAAAAAGCCAGTCCCCAGAGTTGGTGGCATGTGGGACTCTAACCCAGGTCATGGGGATTCCATGAGCTGGGTCTCAGGGGTGCTTTCAGCGCTCTGAGGCGGCGAGTGGTGGGTAGGGCCCTGGCGGTGTTCACAGCCTCTGCATCCCACGCACAGTCGAGGACCTGAGCTCCAAGCTGAAGCCGTACCAGCTGAAGGACTGGCGCCACGCGCCACGCTTCCTGACTCCGCTGAAGCCACACACGGTGCTGCGCGGCCAAGACTGCACCATGACCTGTGCCTTCCTTGGGAATCCGAGGCCCACGGTGACCCTCTACAAGGGTGACGTTAACATCACGTCCAACTCCAAGTTCTGGTACAACTCCACCAGTGGCGTCTGCACAATTGTCATCCCAACCTGCACACTCAAGGACAGCGGCGAGTACAGCGTGTTGGTGGAGAATGAGCTGGGCAAGGACCGCAGCAGCTGCACGCTCACCGTCTACGGTGAGAGTGCTGTGGACACAGGCCAGGGGTGGGGTTGGGCTGGAGGTGGGAGGTGGGTGCTTCCCACCTGGGGCAGAGGCACAAAATGGCAGTCCTGTGGGTTCTTGACGGTCTTCCTGTGGCTGGCAATGTTTTCTACTCAACCTGCCATCAGGTGGTGTAAACATTAGCCACAGTTGGTGCCAGTCTCCACCCTCAATGCCACTTGTTAGGTACCTGGCCACTGCAGATGTGGGAGCTTGCAAACACTCCGCAGATGGGTTTGCAACCCCTGGTAGGCCTAGACTTGACTGGAAAAAGACACTGAACAGGCCTAAAACAGACTCACCAATCACATCTCTCTGGCAGGGTCACGGAAGGAATCTTTAGGTCACAAATGATTCAAGATTGAAAACCACTGGCCTAGTACAAGGACAGATGAGAGGCACAAATGGGGGAGGACCGAAGGGAACTAACTAGTGGAGCCCCTCCCTCCGCACGTGTGTGCCCCATTTCTGCTCCCGTGCGCACATGTAGGGAACTATCTCATTCCTTCCTACACAGTCTACTGTCTTCACAGCTACACAGCTAGGAGCATGAACTCTCTGGCAAAGCTGACTGCCTGGTTCCCTCTGGCTAAACTCCCTCCTGGCTTTCCCCATACGCTCTTGATAAAACCCCAACCAACCGAGGCTCCTCCCCCACCTCAACTACCTCTCCAGCTTCATCCGCCACTCCCTGAACTCTGTATGGCATTCCACCGGTACCCATGGTCTCCATGGTTACAGACCTTTTTCATCCTGTTATAGATGCCTTTTCCTTGGGGAAAGGACCACAAGGAAAAGGCATCTATGGAAAGGCATCCACAAGAAAAGTCAGCTAAGTGCCTGGCACACTGAAGTGATGCCTTCAGAGTGGCTGCTGAACTGTGCAACAAAACTAGACCAGGGAAGGCACAGTGGGAGATAGCAAGCTTTCACACCACCTGGAGAGACTCCTGACAACTCTATTCTGGCTGTAAGCTCATGGACCCAGGGCCCTGGCTTCACCACTGACCAGCCCTGTGACCTGGGCAAGCCACTCTGAGCCTGCTTCCTCTTCTGCTTCTTAGGCTTACATGAGATAGCTCATGGAAGTGCCTGGCAGATACTAAGTGCTGAATAACCGGTAGCTCTTGGCTACATATTCAGCCGGCCTTGGGAGACTGGAGCTGGGGCCCACCCCAGGGGAGAATTGAAGGTCCCAGGCAGGGTCCAACCCCTGGTTCCTGAACAGTAACTACAAGTCCAGCAACGTGGAGGTTCCCTTGCCCGTGACATCACTAAACTAACAAATACTTGCTTTGCTCTTTCAGACAAAGATGACAAGTCAATTTTAGCATCAGTCACCGAGAGTCTACAGAAGAAATCAAAGTACCCTAGGTGAGCACCAGCCCAGTCTGGGCACCAGGATGTTGTGATGTGGGGCCTCTTGGCCTGTCCTCTGCATGGCCCCAGTCAGGGAAGCCCAGTTTGCTCTCCGGTGCTTGTCAATGTAAACATTCAGCAAAAGGATGGGACAATAAATTAACCGAACTCACCCTTTCCCGTTCCTCAGGATGGTGTACAGCTGGTGTACATCAGGGACCACGGAGGTGGAAGTGGAGGTGGAATGGGGATGCACCAAGGCAGCTGAGAGCCTGGTCCAAACCCACCCACATAGGCATTGACCAGCCCCTCTTTTGACTGGGTCTTTGCCTCCCCCTCCTCTGTGGCTATATTGTACCCTCCCGTCCTCTCAGGGTTTAGGTGGGCAAGTCTTGCCTGATTCATCCTTCTCCCCATCCCGCTCCCTCCCATTTCTTCACACCGGGTAGGTCTGTGATCAGAGTTCTGGGGTTTAAAGGGATCAGGACCTTGCCTCTTTAGTGCCCAGGTTCCCACTCTTTGAGAACAAGAGCATCTCAGAGCTAGAAAGAATTACTCATCCAGCTCTAGGTTTCAAACTTATGGGTTGGCAGTGGAGTCCTTCCTTTAAAAAACCTTAGGAAGCTACAGGGCTTGAAACAAGAATAGACTTTGAGCCTCCCTTTTCCACTTATTCTTTTGCTATCTCCCACCAGAGATTTCTGTAAAAAACCTTTATTGAAAGTCACTGATTTATCCAACATCCACAAGGGACTTGAGTTGCCTTCTATCATGCCCCCACAACTGTACAACCCCTCCACTAATGGCATATTCATCACCACCCAAGGCTTCCCTTTAGAATTCTGGGTCAGAGCATTGCCCATTAAGATGCAAATGTCCCTGGAGTGTGGGGGACACATTATTCTGCCAGGGCTTCACATCAAAAGTATGAGTCACCCGGTCTAATTCCATTCCTCCCAGCTGTTCAACTGAGCCCGAGTCTAAGAAGAGAGAAGAGGGTTGAAGGGAATCTGGATCATTTCAGAGCAGGCAGCAGTTCTGGGGTGAGGCAGGAATTGGGCAGCAGAAGGACACTGGGTAACTAAGGGTCACCAAAGGTGCTGGGTACCCATGCACAAAGACAAATTTGGATGGTGACAAATACCACCCATCCCCTACCCTCCCCCAATACCACTACATCCTCACCCACACACAAGACCAGGAAAGTAAGACCCATTCCAACCAGCAGTGTTACCGGAGCCAGGGAGCCGGCCTGGCACCAGGATGCACTGGCCAGTACCGTGACCCAGGCTGTGGGGACACCGAGAGCCCCTGGCTCCATGCCCCTCCACCCTGCTCTCCAGGACGGGCATGTGCTACACAGACAAGCAGGGAGTCAATAGCCCTTGGTTTTTATTTTTATTTTTTCATATGAACAGTAAAGGACAGAACTGTCCCATCTTTGCTCACCTTGCATTGAATGTGCCTTGGGTCTTATGACCCTAGAATGTCACTGGAGCCACCCCACCCTTGCTACCAGTGCAGGGGTGGCAGAGAGGAAAGCAGTGGGGGAGAGGGTTGGGCATGGGGGTTCCCAGCTCTATGAGCCAGGCTCAGCACCCCTTCAACAGCTCCCTGAGGCCTCTCCCTATAAGATTTTAACAGACAGCAGAACAGACACAGATGGCAGAGGAAGACACAGGCTGGGAGACAGATTGCACACACACACAACGCACAGGCTGGCCCCTTCCTTTGGCATGGTTCACCCTAGCCCTGGGGGCAGGGTCTGAGGGTGACGGTGTAGGGCCTGAGCTCTGGGCTGACCTATGAGAGAGATGGGACCAACCTGAATCCTTAATACCCAAGTTCTCAGGCCAAAGAAGTCCCCTCTTCCCTACCCGGACAAGACACCTTTCCACCCATCCATAGAAAGTGAAATTGTTCAAGTAATAAGAATAGATGAGGGAAAGGGAGACTCCGCCCCTAACCAATCTTCCCAACTCAGGTCCTTCAAAGAGGGCTTTGAGCCCTGGCACAGATTTCTCCCTCCCCTTCCACTCTGCATGAATCAGAAAGAGTGGGAGTGAGTGAGCCGGATTCTTCCATCTAGTAGAAGGGGAGGGGAGGTCAAGAAGCTGAGCATCATCACAGCCCCAGAAGGGTCTGACAATCCCAATGGGGTAGCATTGAGGAGATACCTGCTTCTGGCTCCAGCAAGGAGCGTTAGTCCAGCTCTTTTTAGCTCTGAGCACTGTACTGGACCACTAGCTTTGCTAGAGAGATCCATTCCTGCTCACCCCCCTTGTACATTTTCCAGGCAGCACCTGCTGCCTCAGGCTGAAACTCCAGCCATCCTGAACCACCTCTTGCAGGTTCCCAGGCTCTGGACCCCAGTCCCAGGAAGAGAGAAGGGTGACCAGACCCTAGCCCCTCAGTTGGCCTTGCTCAGTCTGTAGTCTTCCACCGGCTCCCGACTCTCGACAGCCGACAGGGCAATGAACATCTGGGCAGCATAGTAGGTGGACATGATGAGTGCCTGCGAGTAGGGCACGGGACAGCAGAATTTGTCGACAGCGATGATCATGTCTGAGATGATAAAGAGCACTGCGCCACTGCATGCTGCCAGCTCAGTCCAGCGCCAGGCTGCTTCACCCCACCGTAGCCCTGCCATAGCCCGCCAGCCCATGAAACTGATAAGGGCCACATAGGCCCCCACCAAGGAGGTGAAGGCACCTGAGAGGCCCGGGTAGAGGAAGCCATAGAACAGGCACGCCAGCACTGCCATCACCAGACCTGTCCGAAGAGCCAGTGGCCGTATGCCAAAGGCTGAGGCGTAGAGCATGTGGGCCACGGCAAACATCAGTAGACCTGGGAGTGAGAGAATGGGATGGGTGCTGAGGGCAGGCTCGGGGGAGCAATGAGTAAGAGGGGCTGGGGATGGGAGTATCTGAGATAAACCAGGAGCTGTGTATTGGGAAGAAGAGGGGTGGGAAGAAATCCACAAAGACTCCCCCTTCCCCACCCCAACTCCTCTGAGGAAGTTCAGACCTGATCACCAGATCACCGGCAAAGTCATCCTCCAACAGGGGCCCCACAGTCATTGGTCTGAGAGCCCCTCAGATTCCCAATATTCTTGTTCAAAAGCCCCCAAATCTCTGACCCTCTAGGACTCTCTAGCCCCCAACCCCAGGATTCCTCCCAGGTAGCTACTGCAGCAACTGACCGTGCACAAAGTAGCCCTGGTCCTGCCAGATGAGGAAGGCATCACCTAGGGCAGAGAAGACGAGCCCCACAAAGATGCGGACGGCACTGGGGCGGGCCAGCAGGAATCCTAGGCCATGGGCCAGAAGGAAGAGCCAGAGGCAGAAGATGGGCAGGCACTTGATGAGGGCGCTGAACCAAGATGGGCTGGACGAGGGCAGCCAGAGCACAAAATACACACAGGTGGCCTTGAAGAAGGGCACCAGCTTGGGTCCCTCACTCTTCACCTGGAGGACACAGGACAAGGGCAGCACTCAGAGCTTGGGAGTTCAAAAGGCCATAGGAGAGCTCCAAGCCAGCATCTTCAGCCCAGACACTCACCCCAGAGACAGGCCCGCCTCCCGGATGGGGAGGATTGACACAAAGAAACCAGTTCGGCCTTTCCCAATCAACCAGCAGAATGTGAACAAGCCCATCACTACCCTGAAGCTTAGTTCATTAGGAAGGAGAAGGGCTCCACAATTCTGGCTGGCCATATCCATTCTTGGCCCTGGGGCAGGACCAGAATGGCCACTAGGCAGAAAACAGTCCTTGGGATAATGTCCCCTCCTTCCCCCCTCCTTTTCCCTCCCCAAAGCCCCTTTAGCCCCGGTCTGCCAGCATCAGCCCTCAGCTGTCTGAATGAAGTGCAGTCACCAGGAAACCACAGAGACACCACAACTGGCCAAGTCGTGATCTTCAGCAGTGAGGCCAGGGCACAGACTTAGGGCCCTGGCAACACCAGGTGACTGCCAGGAATGTGTGAGGTGGTGCACTGCCAACCACCTCAAGCCCCACAGGCTCTCTCTCAGCCAGTCTGCTCCTAAGCCTCCACTCCAGCTGCTCCAGGGTAAAGGCAACCATCATGAGCAAAGAGAGAAGACAGGGATACTGGCTAGAGAAATGAATCTCACAAGTTGGGAGCAAGAAAACTGTCCCTGAAACACCAGCAATTTCAGGGATCTGAAGCTTGTTGGTGGGTGTCAGTCTCATTTCCCAGATAAGAGCAACTCAAGACACATCAGAGAGGCAGGAAGGGGTGGGGGTTCTCTTCCCAGCTTTTGACCTGACGCCAGAGAGGACATGGGGAACTAAGAGAGGGAAGTTAGAGCAGCTGACTAGGTCTCAGCCGGATTAAGTGGGGGAGGGAAGCTAGAGAATGGTTGTATCCAAGGTCACCGAAGGTTCTCTCGAGGCTGAGGGACTGGGCTGCTGCAGATATTCTGATCATATGATCCCCTGAAACTTCTTTCCTTGGGCTTCTGGTACAGAGTCTCTTAGACTCATTCGGAGAAGCTGAGGTGCCCTGTATACCCACCCACACTCTGCCCAAAGTGACTGTGCCTGTCTGGGTGAGCTGTCCAGCAAAGGGCTCAGGGGCACACTCAGATTCCCAGACCACCAGTTACCTGGGGACTGATCGGACAGTGATGAAGGAGGTTGGGAAGAGGAAGATGGGTGGGTCCAGGGGCAAAGCCTGCCTGTGCTCTGCAGGGATAAGAGCTGGGAGAAGAGATGACTAAGCCCCTCCTCTGGAGATCCCCCCATCCGGGCTGGACAGGGCACAGGCACAGAAGGAACCTGAGGGAGATGCATTGCCCGCACTGTCCCCAGGACTCCTCAGCATCCACCTGCCAGCCCTCGGAAGCACCAACATCTGCTCCATACCCCTCCCCCAGCCCCATAGTTCCTAGAAGAAATAGGCAGCAGTAGCTGGGGACACTTTGACAGTCATGGAGAACCCAGCACTACAGGAAAGGTGGGAAAAGAGACAAAGGTTAGAGCTGAAAAAGTCGAAACAGGAAGAGGTGTCAATAGAGAATGATCCCATTTCCTCCAGCGTGTTACCGAGGATGCTGAGACTCACCGGCGTCCCGTCCACCACCGCCCCAGACTTGTTTATAAAATGAGGAAGGGGAGGAAGCAAATCTGGGACAGGACTCCCAGGAGGGCCCACTCATCCTCCTACCCTCCCTCGCCCTCTCCCACACCTCCACGCAGAACTCGGCAGCAGGATCCTGTACCCTTCCTGTCCTCTAAAGCAATCCCCGCCAACTCGCGCCAGACACACACAGATCAACAGTCGCCCTCTGGAGTCACGTGCCCTGTGTGTCCCTCCCAGTCGCAGACCTGCGAGGGCCCGCGGAGGAAGGGCGCCGTCGGTCTGGGGAGCCAGGAGGCCCTGACAGCGACCGCCTCCAGCCAAGGGACGCGGCCGCTGCGAGACCCCCTGCCCTTCCTCGGCCCCCAGTGCCTTGGCCTGCCTCAATGCAGTCCCCAGGCCGGTGGGCTCCGGCAGAGCACAACATTGGCTCGCTCGCTTGGTCATTCACTCACCACGGTGACCGGGGACACCATGGCGGCGGCGGCTGGCACCCAGCTCTGGGCTGCAGCAGCCAGGACCTGCCTGCGGCCAGGTGAGGAGGCAACGAGATAACAAAGACCCGGGTGACGGACAGCACCTCCCGCGCGCCGGGCGCTGGGGGTTCTGTTTGAGATCCCCACAACGTCACCGCAGACCGGGCCAATGAGGTGGCTGGAGCGGGTGGGGGGCGGAGCCAGGCTGGAAACGCTGGCCAGGCCCCAGAGCCTGGGCTCCCTAGGGAAGGAAGGCGGAGGGGCCTCCAGGGAAAGCGACGCCAAGGTGTCTCAGAACCTCAGGACGAAACGTAACCCCAGTTCCTGGGTGATGACCCTGATCGGGTGAGACACAATCATTCTTGTCCTGCACTCACGGCTACACATATTTTCTCATAACTAGGCTATAAAAGCAAAGACAGACTCCCTCCAACCTTTAAACATGCAGTCCACATGGGCACACTTGAACCCACAATCTTCTCTGTGTACAACCATGCACCCAGGTGGACACACAATCGTCAGCAGACATGAGACTTTTAGCATGAAAAGAGACACATAAGTAGGTACACAGCAGCCCGTAGACCCCATAATTCTAACATAAACACAAGCACACACAGAATCACAATTACCCGTAGGCACCGAACAAGTACATGGACGCAAAACCAACAACTGCGGTTTGACACACATCCTTCAACTTCAAACAGAGACACATGTAGGCCGCACACAGCTGTGACACGAGTGCAATGAACACAAGAGCACACCAGGAGTGGTGGGTGGACGGGCAACCTGAGCATACGTAAGGCCCCCAAGGAGTGGGAACTAACTTTGCCCAAAACACAATTTAAGCAGATTTTAATGTTGATATTACACCAGCTACAGGTACACAGCCATATTCGGAAGTGAGTGTGTTCAGAATCATGGGAATTACATGGGTGCACTGATAGGCAGTCACATGGACTGGGATCTAGTCTCAGTTTTGTTGCTTCACCTGTGGGATTGGGTGAATCATTTCCCCACTCTTGCCTTGATTTCCTCGTATGTAAATGGATGATTTATCTCTAGGGTTCCTCCCAAGCCCAACATGTGTAGGACGGTATCAGGATTCAGAAGAGGCCTCCCCAAAATGGGCCACTTTGGCACGTGGATTATTTTTAGCTGAAGGCAATAAAGACCATGCAGGTTCATGAGAAACTTTTACCTCTCCTTTAAGGAATTTAAATTAGGGGCCTTAACATAAGAGTTACTAAATTAGTAACATAAGAGTTACTACCAGAAATAACTTTTTATGACCTATCTGTAGAGCAGGTCAGTCTTTTAACTTCTAAACTTCTGCTCTTCTTATCATTCTGCAATGACTTCTTAAAGCTCCCAAGACACCTTCCCTCCTCTTTAGTTCAGGATGTCATATATACCTCACTTTAACTTTCTGTCCCTGAACCTCTCATATCTGTGGGCTCCTTGAGGCTCCTCCTCAAGCTAAAACAAAACTAAGGATCCAAAGGAAAAGATGCAAATTAGGAAAATGTAGTTAGAAAGATGGATCGACTTACGATGTCACTTAAGATAATTTTGCGAGCAATTGTTCTTATATTACAAATCTTTGCAAAACCAGAATGCAGTTCTAGAAGCAGTTCAAAGCCCACCTACATTTATGATCCCCGATTCAAAAAAGGAGAAACAAGATTTTGGGGTTTTTTGTAAGCACACGTGGGTTCTCTGACTCCAAGTCTCTCCTTGATGAGGACAAAGACAGACAAATCTTGTTTTCTCCACAAAAGCAAATAATAAGACAAAGCGCTCACCATCAAAGTAGGTAAACTTCATTTGTTCCATTTGCCAGAAACAAAGTTTGGATGCAAGATTTCCTGTCTTTTGCATTATCATATCATTACCGTGGCAGTGGTTTTGAGATGAAGGCTGACTTCTCCCTTTGTGTCTGTCTGTCTGTCCCTGTGTGTTGTGTGGTCTTTTCTACCTTGGGATGGTATTGTTAATTCATAAAAGAGCTCTACTTAATTGGTAAACAAATAAGAACTTACATAAGAATTCTCAAAAATGTAACAGAAACTAACCCAAATACTTTCCACATGATCTGCGAAAATATTTGGTATTAAAGCTTGTTTGAGTTCAGCATTTCTTTAAAGTTCTCAACATTAAGGAAAGGGTGTGGCAAAAGAAGGTGTATGGTTGTGAGTGCATGAAACACAGCTCGTTCTTGTATTATTTATTAATTATTATATTATTTTTCATAAGAACAACTATACACCTACTTTTGCCCCCTCTCCCCCCCATATTGGATGTGTACTTAAATATGGGTTCCTAAAACCTTCTGGTAATTTGGACACTAACTCATATGCCTGTGAGTCAGAAAAGACTGAAAAAATATCCCATTTAGCATTTTGCTAAGTTAAGTGAAAAGTTCAGTTCATTGAATGGCTAACTCATTTCCAAATAAAATAAAATAATGAAACATGAATTACTGAACATAGGTTTATCTACTTTTTGCTTCTTCTTTTAAAATTATTTTACTGTTGTTCAAGTACAGTTGTCTGCATTTACCCCTCACCTCTCCACCCCCACCCCAGCCATCCCCACCTCTCTCCCCGGTTTCCACCCTACTATTTGCTTCCTATTATAGAGAAACTAAGGACATTTGGGTTTATTAGAAAATATGTTTTGTGCCACATTTGAAAAAAAATTGTGCTGTGAAGAAAATATATTTTTAGAAATCATGAAATGTGTTCATAAATTTATCAATCTAAAAGAATACTTGTATAACAGATAGTTCACAGTTACTCACTTTTTAGTTTTCACTAGAAGCTAAGGGTTATTTTTTTTGTAAAGATTTTATTTATTTTTAGACAGGGAAAGGGAGGGAGAGAGTTAGAGAAACTTCAATGTGTGGTTGCCTCTCACATGCCCCGCACTGGGGACCTGGCCTGCAACCCAGGCATGTGCCCTGACTGGGAATCGAACTGGCGACCCTTTGGTTCACAGCCCGTGCTCAATCCACTGAGCTACACCAGCCAGGGCAAAGCTAAGGTTTTTGAAAGTTAAGAATTCTATGTGAAAGTACAAAATGCAATAGACTTCAGCAGTCTTAACTGAGTGCCAAGAATAATACAGGAAAGGAAGATAGCTGATGAATGACTTTATAGGTTTCTAACCTTAAGATAGGAAAAATGCAGAGAGGCCATGCTGGTTTCTTGGGTATCAGTTTCTTCAGCATCTAAATCTAACTTCTGATGAAAAGGTTAGCATTAAGCACCTTTACCTTCATGGATAAGATTTTAGCTTGCTCTTGCCAAGAGAAGAGTGCTCGAGTTACAGAAGGCATTATTAGTTTAAAGAACTCAGCCTTTTTGTAAATTGCCAAATATCAAAATAGATTTTTTAAAAGATTTTATTTATCTTTAGAGGGGAGGGGAAGGAGAGAGGGAGAGAAATATCAATGTGTGGTTGCCTCTCGTGCGTCCCCTGCTGGGAACTGGTCTGCAACCCAGGCATGTGCCCTGACTGGTAATCAAACCACAATCGTTTGGTTCCCAGGCCCGTGCTCAATCCACTGAGCTACACCAGCCAGGGCTCAGATTTTTGATATATAAACGAGTTGTCTGAGATGACACAACCATTATTTCTATAATCATTTTACCTGAATCTTCTAGTCATCCTATGACTGTATCCCTGACTGTGTTTATTAAAAGCCAAATAGCTACCTCATGACAATTAAGTACATGCTCTTTAAGAAGGAAAAAAATATTAAATTTGGAATCGAGTATGTAAACTCCTTATGCTTATAGTGTTTCTTTTTCCACATTTGTCAATGACTTTAACCTAAATTGTGAATGTGTGTAAAGGGTAATTGCCCGACCTCCAGCTTACATTGAATAACTCCATCCACTGTGGAGGAGAAGGGCGTGCGAGAGGCGGAGCCTGGACACCAACTCGTGTGCCTGTGGGTCAGTAAAGACTAAAAAAATATCCCACGTTGAGGGGGTTGTTTTGAAATATGAAAAAATATGAAGCTAAAAACAATTCTTTTAACTAGATGATCCCAGGATCTATCCATCATATTTTTCAGGATGGATAGTTTTTACTGTGAGGCAAATAGGTAAAAATTATACTGTACGGCAATTGCATTTAGGTTCTAAAGACAAGAATCTTCAGAGAAATCTATGCAATATATAATTTGTCCAAATTAGTTTTTATTTGGGGGAAGAAGTTCTGAACTATGGCCAACGCAGGTTACTCATCAATTGAAAGTCCTCCAAAAACAGAACTATTGGGAAACCATGGTATGGGGGGGGGGGGGGGGGGGGAGAAAAGCTCCCTCAGTTTTTTGGAGGCAATGACTTTAAAATACTTAAATAACTTAGTTTATTTGGTGCATTAAGAATTCAACTTGTTGATTTTAACATTGCTGTTACATCTGAAATAAACTTCCATGATCCTCTAGTAGTATAAATGAGTGAATGAATGAATAAATAATTCTAATATATGTAATTAAAGCTACAAAATTCATTGATAATAGGGAAAACAACTACATACACCAAAACAACAGGATATGTTTTGGCTTGGAGAAAAACCGGGTATGAGATACAGAGAAGTGTTTTCATTAGGAAAATAAAGTAATTTTGTCCCGATTATTTCTGAACTGGGTAAGAGAACAAGAAACAAACTAGAAGAGACACAGAAAGCTGTAGAAAGTCGATGAGAAAGAATCCCAGGAGAGGAAATTTTATGTGTGATCAAGCTGGGTAAGACTGACTGAATCCATTAGAAGTCCAGAGTCCGCTTCCCCAGAATGTGCCACTTTGGCATGTAAACAATTTTGAGCTGAAGGCAATCCATACCCCTGAGGCTCATGAGAAACATCTACCTCTCTCTTCAAGAATTTAAATTAGGAGACTCATTCATAATAAGAGTTATCACCAGTAGTAAATTTTTGTGGCCTATCTATAAGGCACAACAAACTTTTAATATCTAAATATCTGTTCTTCTTATTGTCCCGCAATGAGCCCTTGAAGCCCCTAAGGCACCTTACCTCATCCTCAGCCCT